CATGTTTGCACAATTATTCAATACATCTTTTTTAATATTTTACTTGGACAATATTGTAGCCTCACTTTTTACTTGATCTTTTTTGTATGTTTGGGCAGGAATTAATGTCTTTGTTCAATTCTATACACCACCAGTTTAATCTATATATGTGGCTTTTGGCAGTCCATTTAACCCACCGTGACTATACATACGAAACAGAATGTATATATAGAGGAAATGATAGGGTGGAGCTAATTAGAACAAAACTGTTTAAATAGGGCAGGGCCAATCACATATAAACAGCATAGCATAGAGAAACAATGACAGAAAGTAACCGATAGATGGTGCTAACACTTTACATAAATATTGCAAGTGGTATCTCTCTCTATTAATTACAACCAATAACAATGGTTATCTGGTCACAACAAATGTAGCAGTATAGCTAAGAATGAGTACTGAGCTTTTAAGCTTTAGAATATTCGAGAAAAATTTTCGTGCAAAAATTTCACAAATAAACCTACTTACTATAGACCTTGTTTGGCCGGCGTCTACGCCTTCTGTATTGATGATTACAGTGTTTGATACATTTCTGGCCTTCCCACTGACTATATATTCCCTAAGTACAGCTCTGAGCTCGGTTTGTTATTCATGAAAACATGAATGAAGCTACTCACATAAATAGAAACCAATGGCTATGCAAGTACCAGTCGACCATGCATGTTAGGGGCTGATATATATATATATATAGAAAATTCTGAGAGTGCTGGGGTCTTATATAATACTTACAGATTTATTTTCAATAATATACCCCACAACTTCATCATAGAGAAAAGAGAGATCTTAGTGAAGTTAAGGCGATACATAGTGTTTTTTTGTTTCTGCAAATTCTCCTTACATTTTTATTATGCAAAAACTAATAACTTTTAGTTTTGATTGTTACTTTTTGATATTATCATGCTCTTTGTGAGATAATGTATTAGCAGTAGAAAGAGGGAAGTGCTCATGCCATTGTACAGAACACTGGTGAGACCTCACTTGGAGTATTGTACGCAGTACTGGAAACCGTATCTTCAGAAGGATATTGATACCTTAGAGAGGGTTCAGAGAAGGGCTACTAAACTGGTTCATGGATTGCGGGATAAAAGTTACCAGGAAAGGTTAAAGGATCTTAACATGTATAGCTTGGAGGAAAGACGAGACAGGGGGGATATGATAGAAACATTTAAATATATAAAGGGATTCAACACAGTAAAGGAGGAGACTATATTTAAAAGAAGAAAAACTACCACAACAAGACGACATAGTCTTAAATTAGAGGGACAAAGGTTTAAAAATAACATCAGGAAGTATTACTTTACTGAGAGGGTAGTGAATACATGGAATAGCCTTCTAGCTGACGTGATTTGAGGTTAACACAGTAAAGGAGTTTAAGCATGCGTGGGATAGGCATAAGGCTATCCTAGCTATAAGATAAGGGACTAATTAGGGAATAATTAAAAGTATTTAGAAAATTGGGCAGACTAGATGGGCCGAATGGTTCTTATCTGCCGTCACATTCTATGTTTCTATTTTTAATGTTGTACTTTAAGCATGAAATGTGTTCTTGTAACCGGTATACACCCGTATATCTTATATATATATATATATATATATATATATATATATATATATATTTAAATATATAGATATATATATTAAAAAAAAAGATCTAAGCTAGTTTAAACATATTCATGGACAATGAATTTTATATCAACATTTGCATTTCTCTGTATTTATATCAGTAATGCAAATGTTGCTCTCTAATGCAGAGCTGCAAGAGTTAGCAAACTCAGTAGAAGGCAGTTTGTGACTACTTAGTGACGGTTTACAGCAGGCTTCCCCAAACTCTGGCCCTCCAGATGTTGCTGAACTACAATTCCCATGATTCTATGAATGAAATAGATTGGCTGAGAATCATGGGAGTTGTAGTTCAGCAACATCTGGAGGGCCGGAGTTTGGGGAAGCCTGGTTTACGGCTTACATTATAATGTGCAAGGGATGGAAGGGAGGTAAAGCAGGTGCACAGACTCAGCAAATTGCACAGGGTATGTACCTGGAGTTCCCTGGAGTTTTGGACTGCTGAACTGCATAACCCATAAACCTCTGCTGCTTCACATGAATTTATGGGATGTGTGCTCAGCACCCTTATTGACAATAAACAGAACAATGAAAATCCCAGAGATTCAAATACAATAATATATATAATCAATGGCATGCTGGTGTCTCCCTTTAAATACTTCCAATTACTTTTATTCCGAGTTTTTTTTCTTCTTCTTTATAGAGACGACAGCATTAATTCTAGACCCAGCTCTCCAAACCCCTAATCCGTCCTTCGTACAGCACTTTGTCATCCATGCATTAATCTCACTAAGCTCCTGCTGCCTGCCTGCTCTAGTGTGTGGCGCTGGTAGTAATTCTCAATGCACTACCTTGGAGGTCTTTTCTCTCTTATTGTATCTTAGTGCCATAAAACCATCTTAGTATTTTATATAATCCTATGTGGGGAGCATATGTGAGCGAATCTCAGTCTGGGAGGGCCAGAGTGGGGAGATTTGAGGAGGGTGTAGGACGGAGGACTAGAAACGAACAATGTGACCGTTATTCACTTAATGTGGGAATTGTAAGGAATTTTAAGTGAATTTCAAATTAGTTAGATAAGCTGGAAAAAAAAATCTACAATCTATAGGGAAGCATTTGATTGAACCGTTCTACCAGCTCAGAACGCATGCGTGAACTGCGCTGGGGTAGGGATGGGATTGAAAGAGGAGTGAGGGAGGAAATTTAAGAAAACGAAAAAATCTATCTCAAGATGCGCACTAGCGACAGGCAGATTTTTTGCACAGAATTGACACTAGCAACTAGTCCCCAGCACAAAAGTGCAAATACGTCCGTATGTGCAGCATTTTAGGTACAAAATTCTGCTCATAGTCTCTTACCACCATGACCACTTCAAAGATTGGAAGTGGTCATGGTGCCTTGGACAACTCTTTGAATGTGAAATCACTTTGAATTCTCACTTTATTGAATACCCTGTATGACTTCCCTAAACTGGAGACTTTAGAGAATAACCCAGAGTATTGAATTCAAAGCATGAATATAAATCTCAAATAAAGCAAAATTTCATAAAAATACCTGAGAGGGTTGTTACAAGTGAACACACTGCAAATACAGAGACACATAAAATGCCCTTTCCTTTATCATTAACACAACTCTAGACTTTAAGCTTGTTTGAGCAGGGTCCTCATCAAGCTATGGTTCCTGTAACATGTTTTTAATTGTCTCTCGTTTATTGTTAAATTTCCCCCTTTTATAATATTGTAAAACGCTAGGGAATAAGTTAGCGCTATATAAATACCAATAATAATAATGGATACAGTGGGTTAAAAAACACATCTTCCTGGATTGATGTCATTTGTGCTTTAGAGGATGAAGGCTGAAAGGCACTTTTTGTCACGTGTGGTGGCAGCATAAATGGGTTGGTTTGGTTTGGAGAGGGTGCTTTGTACTTTTGGCGATGTAATCTTCTTACTCCTATATATAAAAACTGATTAAAATCTCTCTCTCTATATATATATGTATATATATCTTAAAGCATCACTATTGGGACCTTTGCAAGTACCTCACAAGGTGATATGCATGCTCGTATGGAAGGTGCTGTTGGGTTTGCAGTTAGGGAGATACCCTCACCTTACCTCTCCTTCCACGGCACTGCCATGTTCTTGTCTCTTGCGATTTCATCAGCCAGGAGCTATTGTCACTATTGGGTGTATTAAGGGTCACGCAAGGCCGCTAGACATTCAATAGATTATCTCGCACATACACAATAAGGTGCCATTGGCATCTATTGCGCTTCTGGTGGCTTGATACCTGTTCCCATCAGCAGACGCGACTAATGGTTGTTGGTGTTCACCTGAAACTCTCAGCCCATGTGCTGTCCCTGCATGGCAGGATTTAGCTCCGGAGAAGTAATGGAAGCTCCACGCAGGAGTTTAAGGAGGTAGTGAATGGCGCCCAGCGGACATCAGGTAAATTGTCAAACCATTTCTTTAACCCCTTAAGGACCAAACGTCTGGAATAAAAGGGAATCATGACATGTCACACATGTCATGTGTCCTTAAGAGGTTAAGTAAACCACTGACAATTCTAGATTGCACCTTTTAACGTTAATATTTTATCTTAACTATTTATATATGGGCCACTACCATTTTTGTTGCTGCTACATCAATTAATATGTAGAATATTTTTTTAAATTATCCCCAAGTCCAACTGGTACTCTTTATCCCAATAAACTCAGCAACCCTATTAGTGACGTGTAATATAGGCCTGGCTGGGTCAAATTGGAAACCATACCACACTAACCTAACACTTTCCTGAAAAGTAATGCATCGGTCTTGAGCCGAGATAGAGAACAGTGACTGTGACGGACCACCTGGCACCCCGACTGGGTTCCTCCGCCAATCAATGCTTCCTAGCTGACGCTGAGGACCATAAGCACCGCACTGGACACCAACCATAAGCACCGTAGACCCCATGAACAGCCACAGCTTGGTTGTCTCACCGTCCCCCCCCTTCTGGACCAAACTCTTGGATCCAGGGACTCAGTGGGAAGGCCTCTCCTCCAAGAGAGTATAGCTGTGAAGCTCTTACAAGAGCTAGTGGTATAGCTGTATAGCAGGTTCCCTACATTCATGAGACCAAGATACGTGTTGAGGGTTAAGCAGGAATGGTTTAATGGTAGCCACACTGGCCTTTTATGACAGTCCCCATGCAAGGGGTTCGCCCACGTGGTCCTTGTTGGGGACAGGGACACAAACTTACAAACCAATGATAACACGTTTACAATGTATGACACTCCCACATACAATACAATAAAGCTTCCCCTTTACTTAGGAGATAATTGAGCCAAGCAATATACTAAACTCAATTATCTCTAAACACAAAAAACACACATTTCTAAAAAGTCCCAAAAGTACCCCAAAACACATAGTATCCCCACAAATGTTACATCCCCTGATAGCCCTGATCTGGGTGACCAACATATCCACAAATCACCCAGATCAGTTCAGGGGTTCAGAAATTTTATGGAAGTCATAGATATTACTGACTGCAGGCATGGTCCCATAGCCGAAAATAGTTCCAGGGCATTCGCGGCTAAGTCCCCCTGAAGTCTATTCGCGGTTTTGGTCCATGCTAACAAGATGGCCGCCACCACGTGTTCGAATGGCTTTCGAAAGTTCTAATGGTTCCTGTTACCAGTCCAAGAGACACAAATAGTGTTTTCCAATAGGGTTTAACACAGGGGCCATAGTCACAGGGTAGGAGGCTGGCAAGTATGCCCCTCCAAGGACCTGTGACGAGGTCCAGTTTGTCCCAGTGACAAAGGGCAGCATTTGCTGTATGTCCAGGGAATGATGAAATCATTAGCATTAAATACAATGAACAGGCCCTGGGGGATCCTTCATCCCATAGCTAAATATCCTTCTTGTGTTAATTTAAAAGAAAAGTCATCCTAACTATGTAGTTTCCACAAGAGCATTAATGATGTTTAAGGTTAGCTTTGGTGCATTAATTGTGTTTAGGGTTCGTATGATCCGTTACCAATACTTAGGGTTAGACATAGTGCATAAATGATGTTTAGAATTAGATATAGAACATTAATGATGTTTAAGGTTAAGCATAGGACTGCTGGAATTAGCTGTAATGGAGGTGGGAAGCAGTGCCCGGCAGACCCAAGGTAAGAAGTCAAATTTTTAAATTTTCACAATTTGACCATTTTACCCCTAAAAATGGTTGATTTATTGTTAAACGAATACAATTCCTGGTTTAGCAAATCAACCCCATTGTGTTTCACTGAGTGTGTGTGAATTGGCATAAACAAAAAACAAAGCAGATATAGATCCAACTGTTCATACAACATCTGTGTGTGTGGGTGTGTTTTGTGTATATACATATGTCAAATTGAATTAAAATGCTAACTGTCTGCATGTGACTGTAGGTGTCCGCACACATCTACATGCATTTCTTGACATTCATAAAAATGTATACAAGTGCATGTGCCTGTGTGTATATGTGATTTTCTGCCTGTGTAATTATGTGTATCTGTGTTAGTCTGTGTGTTATCTGTAAATACATGCCTGTGCATGTGTGTAAATCTGTATATATGTGTTTCTGTATGTGCCTGAATATATGCATCTGCGTGTGTAAATATACAGGTATGTGTTTGCCTGTATATGTGTATATTGGAGCTCATGTGACTGTATCTTTGTATTTGTAAATGTGTGTATAAATATATAAAAGTATCTGTGTGTGTATGTAAATATCTGTGTGTGTGTATCTCTGTATATCACTGTTTGGGCATCTGTGTATTTCAGGATGTGCACATATGTGTACCTGCTTTGGTTATGTGTGTGTGTGTGTGTGTGGTGTCTGTGTGAGTACCAGCGTGATTGTGTTGTCCCTGTGCCCTCCATCACCCCTTGGCACATCTGCCACTGAATAGGGGGGGGGGATTAGAGGGGCCCACCCACAGACAGTAATGTAGGTAGACAGACTGTAATATGGTGGGTGGGGGATAGGGAGGGAGAGAGCTATTGAGAGGACAAGAAACACAAGGTAAGACCCCCCTGCCCCCTCCTGCAGCAGCTCTCTGATTGGCTGCCCTGAGCTGCCACTCTTCAGCTGATGTCATCCTGCAGTGCTAGCAGAATCAGCTCCATCCTAAGGACATTATACAGACCCTCCCCTGGAGCAGAGCTTTTCCCCTGAAGCAGAGCATCCCCAGCAGCACAGCATCCTCCAAAAGCAGAGCCTCTCCCTCTGGTGGAGAGCATCTTCATCATTACCCCTCTGGAGCAGAGCATCCCAAGCAACACTGCATCATCCAAAAGCAGAGCCTCTCCCTGTGAAGCAGAGCATCATAATCATTGATCCCCTGCAACAGAGCATACTCATAACCCATCTGGAGCAGAGCATCCCTTTGGGGGAAAAAACAAAACATTAAGGACAACATATTAGCCCATCTACCCCAGCAGAGCATCACCTATAAATGCAGAGACCCTCCTACAACTAGCAGAGCAACTTCCAACAGCAGAGCATCCCCCACCTGGAGCAGAGCTTCTTCCATTAAAGGTGGAAATCGAGATCAGAGTGCAGAGCAATTTTTTAAGAGCAGAGCATCTCCTCTTGAAGCTGGACACCCCAAGCAGAGTGCAGAGCATTTGTGCATAGTACCTTCCCTTAAAGCTGGACACCCCCAGTTGAGTGCAGAGCATTTTTGGAGATCAGAGCATCTTCCCTTGAAACAAACATCCTCCTGAGCATCCTTCTTATCAGAGCATCCTCCTAGAGCAGAGCATCACTGCAGAGCATTTCATGTGGATAATATCTTCCCTGAACAGACCGTCCCAGACTGCAGAGCATCCCCCAGAGCCATAGCAGAGCAAATTCTATTGCAGCGCATCTTCCAGGACAGACACCGGAGAGAAACAGGGATCCCCATTGGGAGGTAATTGGGACAGCTCTAAAGAGACTGCACAGAGAGTCAGACAGTACTGAGACATCTCAAAAAGACAGCATAGACAGAGACAACACACAGAGAGAGAGAGAGACAGCACAGAGACCGCACACAGAGATACAGCACAGACAGAGAGCATATCCCAAAGACAGCACAGAAAGAGAGAGAATGACATCTCGGAAAGACAGCCCAGAGGCACCCCAGAAAGACAGCACAGACAGAGACATCCCAGAAAGACAGTACTGAGACATCAAAGAAATGCAGCATAGAGAGAGACATCACGGCACTGACAGAGAGAAAAATACATATCCAAAAGACAGCACACAAATACAGCAGAAAGAGAGATCCCAAAAAGACAGTACTGAGACATCCTGGGAAGGCAGCACAGAGAGACATCCAGGAAGCACCACATAGAAAGACACATCCTAGAGAGAGAGATCCCAGAAAGACAATACTTAGACATCCTCAAAAAAACAGCACATTGAGAGACATTCTAGAGAATTAAAAGACCTCACAGAAAGAGAATAATCCCAGGGAGACATCACTGAAAGGCAACATATAATTTTTTTATTTTTTTTTCCTGAGAGTCATTGTAAAGAGAGATCATTGAGAAAGACAGTCAGGAGAGGCATATAAAAGAGACAACACCGGCTGGCAGTTACTAAGAGACATCACTGACAGATATCATCAGTAAGATACCTTTCACACAAGGAACACTGAGAGACAGCACTGGCAGGTAGCACTTGGAGACACCTGTGACAGGGATACAACATTGTCAATTGCACTAGTACTGACAGATAGCACTAAGAGACAGCATTGAAAGACAGCACTGGGATATAGTATTGGCAGACAGTTACTAAGATACACAGGAGAGGGTACTGACAGTCAATTACTAAGAGACAGCACTGGCCGATATCACTGGGAGACACCAATGACAGGCAGTTACTAAGAGACAGCCTTGTCTATTGCACTAGAAGGTAGTACTGATAGCCAGTTACAAAGAGACAGCCTTGTCAATTGCACTAGAAGACAGTACTGATAGCCAGTTACAAAGAGACAGCCTTGACTGGCAGCACAAGGAGGCAGTACTGATAGAGAGCTCAAAGAGAGTGCTGACAGAGTGCTCTCCTGCACAATACAGAAACACTGCTTTGATACACTATACAGAGAACATTGAGAGATGTGAGAGGAGAATGTTCTGAAAGTCAGTGACACAGCACTGAGACACTCCAGAGAGACATACAAGGCATCCTTAGGACCTTGTACAGAGAGACAGCCCCGAGAGTCACTCAAAATACCACTGATAGGCCACACTGAGTTCAGAGATCCCTGAGACACCGCACTTATAGATCCTAGATCATCAGCACTCTAGATATCAAGTCACTACATCTCCCATAATGCTCTTAAAAGCCTTATTGCTGGGAAAACATCAGGGGAGATATAGTCCACAACATTTGGAATGGCAAAGGCTGCCTACCCCTGTCTTAAATGAACATCTAGGTTGTATTTTTTATACTGCTGGCTACCATTAGACATGATTTTATACTGAGTTTTAGGTTTATAATTTTTTTTTTTTTTTTTTTAAAGCTGTTACTTTAAAACAAATTGCTGAATTAAAAAAAACATTCTTTATAATTTAGTAGTCAATAAATGCTATCCATCTAAAAAAAAAAAACATTGGGTGCCATTTTTATAATGCAAGAGACAATATGGAGGAAAGGGTGGGTATGGCGGGTTAGCGTGAGAGACATTCTAAGGAGAGCACATTGTGTGCAGAAACAAGTCCATGTGTGAGGGTATGAGCATTATAGAGAAAATCTAGGGGGTATTATGCATAAAGGGTTGTGTTTACTTTTTGTGCATTTCTGGTGCTTTTCCTATTTTGCATCTATTTATTCCTCCCTTTTTATTATTTTTGTGCCAAAATAATCCTTACTGTGCCTATTATGTCATTTATTTTCGTGTTCCATTTTTTTCTTTTTCTTTTGGTAAACAAATTTGTATAATGTATAAAAAAAATTTTTTACCAAGGTGTGCCATTTTTCTGGCATCTTTTTCCATCACTGTCAGAGTTTTCTTTGACAAATGAGCAACTTTCACTATATTCTTTTTTGTTTAAGAAATAAAAATGCCACCATTATATAAAGGTGAACCAAAAGTTTCATAATTAAAGGAACACTATAGTGTTACGAATACAAAAAAAGTATCCCTAGCGCTATGTGCTGGACTACCTATTCAGGTGTCCGGCCCCTCTCAGAATGAAGTTAAAAGGTATTTAACTCATCTTTTCTCCTCCATGGCTGAGATTATCAGTCTTGATTATCTCAGCCAATCGGATACTTTTCCATAGGAAAGCATTGGGAGGCAATTGCCCATGCACAGCAAAACACAAATGTGACAATTTTATTAAAGACACGGAGGCTCATATTATGCATAACTCTTTCTTTATTTCCTCAGCAGCAAAGATAGAGGAATATAAATATTATCAAATTGAAAGCAAAAAACTGTATAAGTACACAGGCAACCAATAGCATAACATAGGAAGTGGCTATATAAGGCCTGTGTCTCCCACAATCCCCCTCTTTCTTTGCTGCTTCCTCAGACAGCTAAGTACCATTATTGAGCTCTCTACTCATTGCATTTTATTAGTATTATTTGTTGTGTATTCTGGTTTTGCTTCATGCTCATTATTATTTATTGTTTTCCTTGCTTGTCTTTTACTCTTGTTGCCTGGATCGTTGGTGTATTTGGGGACCCCCCTGGGGCGTTTTTTCCCGCTGCCGCGGGCTCTCTCTCTCTCTTCCCCTCCCTCCCGCCCCTATCTCTAACCGAGCGCTTCCCAGCGCTGCCCTCTGCCGCGGCGGTTTTCTCTCGGCACCGCGGCTGAGTGTGCTCGTTTTTTCCCCTTTCACGGGCTACCCGCGCGGGTAGGTGCGCGCGCGCCCCTTCCCCCGCCGGGGGCCTGTACACGTGTGCACGCTTGTTCTTAGACGGCGGCCATTTTGGGTGATCGCTACGCATCGCTCAGTATCCTGCCGTGCGGTCTGTTCTCTCTGGGTCTCCCTGCTACACCAGCGATCAGGTCCTTTGTGTTGTGGCTGGGTTAATCAACCCACTTATTTAGTTTTCACCTTTATTGTTCAGTGCCGTTTTTCTAGTGTCTCTGCCATTATGCAGGATAGGGAGGATGGGCCTACTGATCCCTCTGGGGATTTTCCTAATGTTAACCCTGAGGGTGCTATGGCATCTCAGGAGTTTCAAGCCTTATTAGAGGCCACTATGGCTTCCTCCCTTCAGAAGGCTATTGCCTCAGCTATGGGGGCTGTCTCCTCCTCCTTTACCCAGTCTCTGCAATCTGGGTTTTTGCCTTCCACGGCTACCCCTGCCCCCCTGGGTGTGGGGTCCCCTTCTCCTGCCCATACTGTGCCGGGTGCCCGTAAGGCAAAGGATAAATCTCGTCATATCGGTTCCCACTCCTCGATGCAGGTTTTGCCTGCCATGAATGACTCGCCTCTGGCGGTCACAGATAGCGCGCATCCCACGCGCACAAGAGCCCCTGGCCGGGCTAAAAAGGCTAGATTGTGGAAACGGGCTAGAGCCCTGGATGATGAGTCGGATTCCGACCGGAGTGTGGAAAATGAATCCGATTTTATGGAGTACGACTCCTTTGTTGATGACGAGTCGGGAGAGGACATACCCCCTACGGGGGTTCCCCCTTCTAGGTCCTCTGCCAACCCCCGAGGTAAGGTCACTGGCCCGCTGGGGACAATAAAGCCCTGCTAGACCCACAGGGTAACCCCATGTTTGACCCGGACGACCTCCGTCACCCGCGGTCTGCCGAATGGGTCCCTCCGGACCACATCACCCAATATGTGGCTAAGCGAATTCGCACGCCCCTATCCAAAGAAGGCCGCAATAAGCTGCGCGCCGAGTGCCCACGGCCTTCTCTCCCTGGCGCTGCCTGCAAAACCCCAGAAATCGACCCACAAATCGCCCAATTTTTAAATAAATCTGGCTGGAAACCTAAGAAGGGTCTTGATCATTCCCTGAAGGGATGCCAGGATAAGATCCTGGATACGCTGGGCCCCCTGTCGAAGCTGTACGAGCTTCTTGATGCCGCTAGATCAGGGGAATCTGTTTTGGATGTGGATGTGGCCATTGGGTGGGTCCAACGGGCTATATGCCTTCTGGGTAACGCCAACACGGCGGTGTCCTCCGAGAGGCGCAAGGCCATTCTACTAAAGATTGACCCTAAATTGGCCGCTATGTCTGTGGCGGAGCCTGATTCGGCTGATGAAGGTCTGTTGTTTGGCACATCCTTCGTGAAGGACATGGGGTCATATGTCAAGACCTTTACGGCTATTGACAAGGCGCAGGCAAATATGAAGCGCGTCTTCGCGCCCAAGGTTTTCGGAGGGGCCGGGCGTAACAGGAACCGTCCTCCCGGCCGTGGTTTCCGAGGCTCGTTCCGTGCCACCAGAGGTTCCTTTTTTCCCTCCAGAGGGTTCCAGGACCCGAAAACTCCTTCCTTCTTCCCGGCAAGGGGGAGATCGTGGGGCTCCAGATACCCCCGTGGTGGAACTTCGGGCAGACGCCCTTATGGTGAGTACCCTTTCTTCCCCTCTCGATCAGGTTCGGGTGGCGGGGAGGCTGGCCTTATTCTACCTAAGGTGGGCAGATATAACTGCGGATGCTTGGGTTCTGCAATGCGTAAAGGGTTATCGCCTAGAGTTTGTTTCCCTGCCTGTTCAAATTTCTGTTCCCAGGGAGTTGTCTCTCCCACCGGAACAGGACGCGATGATCTCCGCGGAGGTCGAGGAGATGTTTTCAAAGGGTGCCATAGAAGAATTGCCGTTCGCTGCCCCAGGCTTTACGAGCAATCTCTTCTTAGTACCCAAGAAAGGGGGCGGTGTCCGCCCGGTTATAAATCTTCGCCCTCCCAACGCGTTCCTGCGCTACCAACACTTTCAGATGGAGGGCATCCATTGTCTCAGGGATCTGCTGCGGCAGTCGGATTGGATGGCCAAATTGGACCTGAAGGACGCGTACTTCACGGTTCCAATAGCGGTGGAATCCAGGGACTACTTGCATTTCACCTGGCACGGACGGCGTTGGCGTTTTACATGCCTGCCGTTCGGTCTCTCCTCGGCCCCTTGGTGTTTCACCAAGGTGATGAAGCCGGTGGTGGCGTACCTCCGTACCAGAGGGGTTCGCCTCATTATTTACCTGGACGACATTTTAATTATGTCCCAATCGAAAGAATGCCTGGAGTTGCATCTGAGCTGGACTATCAACCTTTTGCAGAATCTAGGTTTTCTAATCAACTGGGACAAGTCGGTCATGACCTCCGCCCAGTCGATGGAGTTTTTGGGGTTTCAGGTGGATTCCATACGGCAATTCCTCTACTTGCCGGAATCAAAGATGAAGGCCATTCAGAAAGAGCTCCGGCGAGCTCTACGGGCCTCAGATCTCTCGATACGTCAGTTGGCGAGGATCATCGGCCTACTGGCATCCTCCATTCAGGCGATATTCCCTGGCCCGTTGCATTATCGAGCCCTGCAGCGGCTCAAGGGGTCACACCTTCGTTCAGGCCACTCTTACGAATCACGGATTCGTTTGGACGAGGAGTCCAGGGAAGAGATAGCCTGGTGGCTATAACGTAGTCATAGAATCGGACGCCAGCTTATACGGCTGGGGCGCTCGTTGTGGCAACGCCTCCACGGGAGGCAGATGGTCCGACGCAGAGAAGTCGTTACACATCAATTGCCTGGAGCTCCTGGCAGGAGCCTTTGCAATCCGCAGCCTTACCCCGGGACGGGCAAACTGTTGCGTTCTCCTCAAACTGGACAACGTATCAGCGGTCCGATACATCAATCACCTGGGTGGTACCAAATCCAAGATGTTGGCTCTTCTGGCGAAAGAGTTTTGGCAATTCTGCCTTTACAACAACGTCTCTGTGACGGCGGAGCATATTCCGGGTCTGGACAATTCGACTGCGGATTGGAATTCCAGACATTTAAGAGACTCGGGAGACTGGCGCTTGCACGGCTCGGTCTTCCGAGGCCTAGAAGGTCTATGGGGTCGTTTCGAGATGGACCTGTTCGCCTCTCGGCTGAACGCTCAGGTACCGAAATTCTACAGTTGGAGGCCAGATCCGGCGGCAGTGGCGACGGATGCCTTTCTTCAGGAATGGCCCCCGGGTCGCCTCTATGCCTTTCCTCCGTTCAACATGATTGCTCGCACACTCTCCAAAATGGTTCACCACGACTGTTGTCTGGTTCTGATCACTCCCCTGTGGAGATCCCGTCCGTGGTTCCCTCGACTGATGGAGTTGTCGATAGACTTCCCACGGTTGTTGCCGAACTTCCCGGATCTCCTCTTGGATCCGGATGGGAACTCGCACGAACTGGTGATGCGGCACCAGTTGCCCCTGGTGGCTTGGTTCCTTTCAGGGGACGCTGGATTGTCCCTAACGTTCCACAGACAACTCTCTTGCTCCTCGATAACGCGTGGGCCCCGGGCACACGATCAGCTTATCGGGCAGCATGGAAGTCTTGGTCGGGTTGGTGCATGGAACGGGCAATGGATCCCGTATCTGCCCCTTTCCATCTGATCATGGAATTTCTCACGTCCCTGTTCGATTCGGGCAAGGCGTACAGGACTATCAATCTTTTTCGCTCGGCCATTTCGGCCGGACACGATGGTTTAGAAGGCACACCCGTCGGTAGGCATCCTTTTATATGTCGCCTTCTTAGAGGTATTCGCCTCGCCCGTCCACCCCGGTCGCGTTTTTCGGCCTTTTGGGACGTCAACATAATGTTGCAGTTCCTATCGGCTTGGTACCCTAACCAAGCATTGACTCTCAAACAGCTGTCATCCAAACTGGTTATGCTGCTTTGTCTTATCTCTTGTAAGAGAGTCTCCGATGTCAGGGCCCTGGATTGGGGTGCCATCGTGTTTACTCCTGAAGGTGTTACTTTCAACATCTCTAGGAGGACTAAGTCGGCATCCAAATCCTTTGTGTACCCTAGGTTCTCAGGGTGCCTGGCACTCTGTCCGGTGGATTGTCTTAAGGCTTATCTGGATGCTACAAGAACGTTTCGTTCTTCTGATCGTCATCCCCTATTCATTTCCTTTAAGGCACCTCATCAACCGGTGTCGACTCCGACGCTAGCGCGTTGGATTCGTTGGCTTTTATCCCTAGCGGGTATAGACACTTCTACCTTTACACCTCACTCCGTGAGGGGTGCCATGGCCTCGAAGGCATCTTTGGTGGGTTGCCGTCTGGAGGACATCATGCGAGCTGCAGACTGGTCTCGTGAGTCCACCTTCCGAGACTTCTATTTCAGACCAATTGAACACATCGCATCTCAGATAGTAGCACAGCTTTGAACTTGCATAATATGAGCCTCCGTGTCTTTAATAAAATTCCTAGATTTTACTAGTATCATGACGTAAAGTCATGATTTTATTAAAGACACGGAGGCGAGTATTATTCCCTCCCACCCTCCCGGTGTAGGGGTTTGCGAGGGAGATGCGCTTTTTGGATTTTTCCAGGTATGTTACATTTTGGTCCTCTTATTTGTCTTGACTTTCGTTTGAAGCATATAACTGCTTGATGTCAATCACATGTTGTAATTTCAGATTTCGTTTCAGTTTTGAATGACCTACAGTTCTGACTGGTAAGCAAACAGTTTGGGTTTAGTTATTACCATATTTCTCTCTCTCTTTTAGCTTGAAGTTGTTGAAGCGCTTCCGTTCCTGTTTCTGACCATGTGGGATATCGTTTCGTCTTAGCTGGTCCTCGGTGTTCGCAAGAAAGAGGGGGATTGTGGGAGACACAGGCCTTATATAGCCACTTCCTATGTTATGCTATTGGTTGCCTGTGTACTTATACAGTTTTTTGCTTTCAATTTGATAATATTTATATTCCTCTATCTTTGCTGCTGAGGAAATAAAGAAAGAGTTATGCATAATATGAGCCTCCGTGTCTTTAATAAAATCATGACTTTACGTCATGATACTAGTAAAATCTAGGAATTTTTATGCATAACCTCCATAGAGCGATAGAGTGCAGAGTGTAACAGAGCGACAGTTCAGTGAATGATATGAATAGAATAATATGTAGAGAGATTACTGAGAGATGGCCAGGTCACAAGTGTGTGTTGTGACAGTACAGGCTATATAACAATCACCCTTGGTCTTTTATCCACCTAGGAACTCCCCAGTATAATAGAGACATCCAAATAGATCTGCCTTACTCTTTACAGAAACACTGGATACAGTCACAAAGTGAGATTGTTCTTGGATACCTCGAGACGTTCTGGTTTTACAGCAAGACATCTTAGAAGCCAACAATGATCAGGGGAGATCTTTATCTGGGGGTGCTGCTGATCAGTGCATTACTGCACTCTGTTACCTGCAACAAAGGTCAGTATTGGTCTTTAAAAATCACAAAATTAACCAGCGTCTACTGGTAATGAGCAGTAATGTTATAAGGAATGGGGGAAGACCCTGACTAATTAATGCAATATGTGTGCATGCGCACAATATGTATGTTATGTGTAAAGATTGCACGCATGCCCCTAATATATATCACATGTGAACGCAGAATATGTATATGTAAAAAAACATATAAAGCATGAATAAAGAGCTGGCGGTGTGTACAGAACACGTACAGTGTGAAATAGTAATACTAATATAGTAAAAAGCTGAAAAAGACACATCTTATTATGTTCAGTATTTACTGCTGGTACAAAAAAAACAAAACGTTTAAAAAACTAAATGGATTTTGAATTGTGCTTGCCAAAAAAGAAACACAATTCTGGCAAACAGATTTATGGCTTTATGAGCAAAATATGAATGTTTCGATTTCCTACTGAAGCACTCCAATTCTGTTTTGCCAAAAAAAAAATATGCAAACTATTTTATAGCCATCTACTGAATTTGATAAAATAACCGTTCTGGGCCAACACCTGTATTTTATTGTTCTTACTGTGAAAACTCTTTCCACTCCTGTAGGCGAAATGAAATGATAACCTCTTGCACTCTGTAATGTACTGTGAAATAGGCACTCAAAGCCGCTTAATGGTTGTTAACAATGTCTACAAGCCCATCGTTCCAATACTACTCTTACTGTATTTTATCAGTGAAAGTGGGCCCTATATGCTACATTCAACACTAACAGGGTTATTTTCTAAAGTGAGAATTATCAGAAAATCAAAGTAAATGCATTGTGACTTTCACATTTAGGGCCAAAATAGCTGAATTGGAACAAATCCCCACGTCAGCTATGCTTCCAGTTTGCAATTGTAGTCTAGAATCTGAAATGCACATTGAATTCACTTTGAAATCCTGAGAATTCCCGCTGTAGTAATTAACTCTGTAAAAATTCTGAAATGTAATTTCCCAAGATTTATAATATTATCGAGATTATTTAATAAAGGCCAAATACTGAATGGGGCAAAACCGTCAGGCTTTATACGGGTCCATTCGGACTGCAAAATCCAGACATTGTTCATTGTCTAGATTCTGTAAGTCGGGCCCCAAACATTTGGTTTAGATTTCAGCTGGACCGAATGTCAGCAGACGACTGAAATCTGGACCGAATGGCACATTAAAAAAAAGTTTTAAAAAATAAACAATTAATTAATAAATAATTAAATAAAAATCCTATAGGGGTCAATAAGACACCCATATTATTATAATGGAGGTGTTTTACCTCAGGGTGCCCCCTAATGCCATGCAGCAGTTGGAGGTATTTCTACAAAATTTACTGCTAAATCTACCTAGTCAGTCACTAGAAAAGGCTCCCACTGTGAAATAACTGGACTTAGTCCTCCCCTGCTCCTACATGTGGGCATTGGGAGGGGGCTCTACTACTATTCACTACCAGAGGGTTGGAGGCCCCGCTCTAAGAAATAAGTATTTGTGAGGCGTGAAATAAAATTAAATGTAGAAATTGATACTTCTTTATATTGCACTCAGCACCCCCACCTTAGCACCCTGTTACTAATTGTTATAAGTTCTGTCCTTTGCACCTGGCAGTCAGCATAGAGAAAGTATACAGAGAAAAAATGAGACAGTGTTTCTATTTCTCCCCCTCATTTGCATTGTATGCCTTGGTTGTGGCTGTACAGAATTGGACTGTGATGTCATTTGCTAAATCTATAATATAAATTTAAAATAAAATGTAAAATCCCCTTGAAAAAAAAAAAGATTAACACAACTTAAAAGTAATTTTAATGCTTTATTCAGTAGTTTAGTTTCCAGAAAAGTGACAGTAGCCCTTTAACAGAATTAACTTAGTAATGTCAGCATCTTAAAGAAAAATGACATGAAATTAAAATAAAAATTTTTTATTGCTAGTCACATGATGTCTACCTATGGAAGAAGACTAACAATTAAATTATGGTTTAGGCACAATTTTAAGACCATAAGGGATAAAGTGAGAATGTTGTGAGTGCTTAGTAAATTTCAAATTACCAATTTGGCACAACCTCAGAATTTGTTATTAGAAACTTACTTCACTCTAACTTTAAACCAGTTTTAAATTTCAGTAAAACATGGGGTTTTACCTATCTAAACTATTTTTTTTAACAATTTAGAGATTGCAGATTTACAAATTGTAGCGAACCTCTTTGTGAGGAAATATAAACTGCTGTTGCATAAACCAAGTAGATCGTATTTAGTGGAACAACCTGATCTACACATTATGTCCCATGCTGTTTTCTGTTCCCAAAAAATAATTGTTCATTTGATATCACGAGATCTGCATAAAAACCTGTTAATTCCTATTCCTATTGAAAGCACTGTTTTTAAAATGATATGCCTAAATATTATCCCTTAATAACCACTCAAATAATTTCATGTGGGTGGTGAAAATCCATGATAAATAGCCTGAGATTTTGATCACCTTTATATCACTCCTTAAAAAATAATAATAATTAAAAATAATGGCTTGGTTATTACTTGTTATCACTAGACTACGCTTACAAAGTACCTGTACGTATATATTTCTGGACATGCGTTTTTATTTACCTCAAATATATTTAATTGTGTCTTACTGCGCATTATATTGTTTGTGTTAAAAACTTGTTGTTTATTCATGTGTGTAAAGAATATCTTCTGTATTATGTATAGATAGAAATTTTGAGAGTGAATATACCAAACATAGGCCCAGATTTAATATTTTTGCATAAACTTTTCAAATGATTTTATATTTTTGTTTTTGTCACTATAGTGTCAGGAAACCCTTCAACAGCTTACCTTTATCCAGCACCGGGCTCCCTCGGCGCTGGTGACCTCTCCTCCCCCGCCGACGTCAGTTCCCCTCTGCGTGATGGAGGTGAAATGTGCCTCCAGCGTCGCAGATGCGCCTCTAGGGGCTGTCCAGAAGACATCCACTAGAGGCTGGATTAACGCCAAATGTAAAAAAAGCAGTTTCTCTGAAACTATGTTTGCATTTGAAGGGTTAAAACCTGAAGGACCTGGCACCCAGACCACTTCATTGAGCTGAAGTGGTCTGGGTGACTATTGTGTCCCTTTAAACTTTGATAAACTTTTTAAAGGATTTTGAAAAAATATTTTAATATGTTTATTTTAATAGTTTGAAAATATAATATATTTTTTGATATTTTATTATTTTGAAAAAATAATTGTAACAATTTATCCAAAAATATCAAATTGGGTCCACAGTTATTGAGGAAAATCAAATTCACTCAGAATTATTGGTAAAAGCTAACACTGTATCCATTATAATGTGGTATATTAAACATATTTAAATAATATTGAAAAATAATACTATTATGGACATAATCTAGTAGTAAGTAATCTTTTATGGAAAATATAAAAATATAAAAATTTATTGAGTATTATGAGTTAAATTTAAAAAAAATATGCATAAATATTGGGTAAATTGGACTACGTATCATATACTATCGAGAAAATAATTTTATTGGATATTTTCAGGAACATCTAATATAAATATTTATTATTGTGAAAATCTAGCAATGTATCTTTTTCTATGAAGAGAAAATGTTAACCATGTGACTGTAATTTGGCAAAATCTATCAATATATCCAACTATAACTAACTTGTATTACTGAGGGGCAAACAAATAACAATGTAGCCAAAATCAGGTGAAAATCTCGCATTTTAATCAGTGCTAAGGACAAACAATCTAGTCAGTGACATGGTGGACTTTTAGCATGCTTTAGTATTGTGGGAAACCTCAACAATTAAATTAGTATTGTTGAGAGAACCAATCAATTTACCATCTACAAGTAGAGAACCTGATGGATACAATCAATTATTTTAGCCTGAATTTTAGCTAAACCAAACAAGCAATGTATCTAATATATTTAATGTTATTGGGAAAATCTTGCACTTTATTTAACATTATGGTGGGGCTATAGAAATATCTTTATACAATGGGATACATAATAATCTCTTACCCGACTACCAACTGTAAGGATCTGGAGCCGCTCCAGCAATGCCTACAATCCCAAATAAAATTTTCAATTAACTTACTCATAGAAGGTCAAGTTTTGATTGACATACATCACAGATGCCATTAGCAAACAATGCATGTTCACGGGTTCTGTCACCAGAAATTGTCTATGCCGCTACAGTACATATTTTAAAAACGTCCTACACCTTGCGCTGGTCCTCATTATAAAAAGGTGAAAAAAACTATTTGGAGCTATCTGTGGTAATAAGAACGCACAGAATTCCTTGGCGTAAAGATGGGACCATTCTGGAAATCACGGATCTTGATTGTCTGCTGAGATCACATGCTATCTGTGGCTTTTTTTAATATCACCCAGTTACTGTAACCAAGGACATACAAATTGTAATGCTATTTAAAGATGGCCACTTCCACATCGAAATACTGCTCATTGAAAATGTCTGTAATGTTTATTCGATATATGAAAATATCTGTTGAAAATATTGTTTTGACCTCAACTATGAAAATATTTTGTTTTTAAAAGAAAAAAAAAATAGCAACGGTTTCACTTTAACATCATGTTATGTTACTAAGATCCCTTTCAAAGAGTTAATACGAAATCATATCAAATACGTTTATTCACCAACAGGGTTACTCACCCAAGTGAATTTTAAATTAAAGCCACTGTAACTGAAATGAAAGCAATTTAGAGAAGAATGTTTATAGTTTGGCTACTTTGACCTTGAAATTAGAATTCACATTAAATTCTCACTTGAATTGTACAATTACTGTAAACATTGAATTGTAGTGATCTGAAATCCAAATTGTAAAATTTTCATGGGTATTTACTAAACTGTGAATTCGAAGTGAATTCAAAGGTAATTTCAAGTTTAAGGCCAGACTAGCCAAACTGAAAGCATTGCTGACTTAGAGAATTTGTTCCTGGTCGGCTATTTTGCCCTTAGATTTGAAATTCACTTTGAAAAGGCTGCAATAGCTGATTTTTAAACATTCTCCACTCGTCCATAGTCACAGCACGGCTAGTATGGCTTTAATTTTGCAATTAAGATTTAATAAATAACTTTGAGTCTAGAACTCCACTTCAGGTTAATATAAAAATTGTGTGAGTGATTATGCCAGTAAATGTATTGATTAAATTATCTACTTACTGAAGCCTGCTCAACTGCTGCCTAGGAAACAAAGTACTTCATTTCATAGATTCGCTGTTTCTATGGAAGGGAGTAGTGTTGTGGAGCTAACAGAATAGGGAAATATTTGATTGTGTTTTTCTGCTGTGCATTTATCTATAATATATATATATTTTTTACATTTTACTCTCTTCTTTGTGGAGTGAAGCCTTTTCAGGCATTTTTAATCATTGCCACATAGAGAGCAGCCCATTAGTAGGGTTAGCACCTCATTATTTGGCCACAGTACATGGTGTGCCATGAGGGATATCTGATATATTTGTCACCATCTTCATATTTGAATTATTCAGTTGACAAACAAGGTTTTGTTTAAGAGGGAATCTCAGGAGGCAGAACCATGGGATGGGGCAATACTGGAAGCATTAACAGATGTCTATAGTTAAAGGAACACTAAAGGGTCATGAACACAAACATATATTCCTTACTCTACAGTGTTAAAAACACTATTTTGCCCCCCCCCCCTTACCTCCTTAGATATAATAAAACTCACCTTCTTCCCAGTGCTGCGCAGATCTGACGGTGTTGGCTCCGCCTCGAGCTGCCTCCTTGGCTGACATCATCAGAATTGATTATCTCAACTAATCCTGATGCTTTCCCATAGGAGCCAAATGCTGCCATGGCCAATCAGTATCTCCTCAATCAATGCATGTCTATGGGAAAAGTTTAGCATCTTCATGCAGAGCGTGGAGAAGCTGAAAGCCAGTGCTGCACACTGTGCACAGCCCCAGGAAGCACCTCTAGTGGCCGTCTGAGGAGTGGCCACTAGAAGTGTAAAATTAAATTTAATAAATCCAGACTCAATTAACTTTTCTCTTGCTTCGTAACTGGTCCTCACCTGGCAGAGAAATAGAAAACTCAACTCGATATCTGTGCAGAAGGATTGCAAATTATTGCAACACATCTCACACTGTATAAGAGCCTGTACTGCTCAGTGTGTGCAGAGCTGCTTCATAACAGCCGAGGGGAGAAGTTAGTACTCTATGCTCTGGGAACAAAGATTAGGACATACGTGCAAGATACCATACAGATTCATGGTATTAGCTACACACACATATTTATCTGCCAGAGATATTTATAAAGGGTGGGTAAGCAGGATTTGGCCGAACTGAATCACCGCTAACCCTCTTGGCAGAGCTGAATCACCGTTAACCCTGTCTGCCTTTCTCTGAAGCTATGTCAGTTCAGTTGAGCCAAAAATAATTCGCAGAGAAATGTTTTGGACTAATTATGAGAAAATTAAACATTCACATTATCACTTCCCAAGCTAGGTTGGTATGCAGTGGGTGTCAGAGATATGTTATTATCAAAATACTTAAAAACTGCATCAATAGCCTATTGCACTGTAACAACTACAATATACATCAGTGGTTATGTTGCAAAGATACTCCCTTTAAAGGGTAACCAGTCCCCTGAAATTTTCTTTACATAAACCAATTTAGAGTTATATTCCCAACAGATTCATATTATTTTTCATATAACAATTTGTAGTAAAGATATCTGTAACTACGTCTTGATTCTAAGGAAGAGGAAATGGTTGTTTGAAATGCCTGATTATGCTGAACGCCATCTGTACCGTAAGGAATCCAGATTATCTAGAAATCCTTTATTCCATGTTAATTAAAAAATACTTAACTGATTTTAAAAACATCTTAAAATGTATAATCATTTTTTTAAATACTGCATAAGAACGTTTTCTGATGACAGACTTTTTTTTTTAATCATCTATCAAATATAAATTTGTTGTAGGCGATCAAAAACATGAATAGGGTAAAATAAAAGCTGCTTGGTGTGTGTTTCATTATTGTACACGCATTTGCAGGCATTTCCAATGCCAGACAGAGTTCTAGGTAATTCTTACAAAACTCTGCTTTATTTTAATGGACCACAAAGGTCAAATAAAGCTAAAATCCAGATGTGGACCCCTTGCTCACGATGCCTAGAGGGATATCGGCCATACCTCACTGATGATGCCTTACAAGGTTGAAACTATTGTCTGGGGTTGCCGTATGTCTAGTGAAGAGAGAGCCAGTCTGCATTTTGGATCTGTTCTGCCCTATTGGGTGGGATCAGTCTGATATGCAAATATATGTGTTGTGCAATTATTGGCACCCTTCTAATCAATACTTTGTGCTACCTTCCATTGCTAAGATAACAGCTCTGAGCCTTCTCCTATAATGCCTGATGAGGTTGGAAAATACATGGCATGGAATCTGAGGCCATTCCTCCATACAGAATATCTCCAGATCCTTCAAATTTCAAGGTTTACACTGGTGGACTCTCCTCTTAAGTTCAACCCACCGGTTTTCTATAGGGTTCAAGTTAGAAGACTGGGATGGCCATGGCAGGATCTTGATTTTGTAGTCTGTAAATAATTTTTGTGTGGATTTGGATGTATGTTTTAGATTAATGTACTGCTGGAAGATCCAACCAAAGCCCATTTTATTTTTTCACTTTCTTTATTTTTGTATTTTGTCATAAAAAAGAATTACAAAACATTCCTGTGTTGCCACAACAGCTAAGACAGGACAAGCAGTAAAACAGATCAGAATGAGTGGCACACAATATTAATTTGTTTGAAATAAGTTTATTGGTGCACAAGAAAAGCAGTCATCCCACGCAGGGGAGATAAATGGATCATAATAAGCTTTCGATATAGGCATATGCCACAGAGTGCATTTTATATCGCCTGAGAGCAGTCAAAGCTTAATGAGGCAGAAAGGTTAGATTATGTGAACACAAGTAACATAACTAATGTTAAGCAAATGACATAGTGCATATCCGGTCCAACAGTAGCAAGAAGAGATCATTCTCTGCATCTTATTTTGCTGTCAGCATATGTTAGCCGTACAATGTTTAGGTAAATCTGAACCGAGATATTTGCACTATTGTCTACGCTGGATTATAACGGGTCCAGTTAAATAATGCCTATTCTCAACTGTATTTGATTAAACATTACGCAGCAACCCATTAGTGAGTCCCCATATGCTGGCAGGGAGGGGTTAAACTATGGTATAACACAAGGGCTCATCATTAGAAAATCAGAGACAGGGTTAGTAATTCACTCTGAGATGTTAACATGACATTCAATGATTAGATAATGGGGGATTAGGGGCTTAATCGGTTGCTGTGTATCTTCCTCTCCCCATGTTTAACAGGGTAGTATGTTGTAAGTCTTACATTCGTGCCCTCAGGTAGGAGGTAATTGGTGTCCCTAAGATTGGACCCACTGAAACTGTACGTGCGAGATTACAAACACAACTGAAAAATATGCAATGAACGGTTAAACTGTAAACATGCTGTTCCGTAACATAGGGTAATATGATGGGGGTATGAACCTCCGGCTATAGAGCCTCGAAATATTACAATTATTAATGAATATTGATATACGAATTATAGCAGCACAGGGTTTTATATTAGTCGGTCGAGGGCCGACTATGGCACAGCAGCGATATGTCCCTCAGTCCACGGGTCTCCAGCTCTCTCCCCCAGGCAGGTCTCAGCCCGCCAGTTGGACTCTCCTTGGCTCTGTGGGCACTCAGAAGCAGGTCTAGTCCGCATGACCCCCACACCTAGAGTCTGCGAACCGTCTGCCTCCTGCACCTCCCCAAAACCTCTCAAGTCTCCGTGGAGCGTGTGCCCCCATGTCTCTCCTGGCGCCGGCCACACTCTTGGGGGTGGTGCACGCCAGTCTCGGCCACCGGTCCGCCGGGAGGCCCGCCCCCACCTGGTCCACAGGGCTCACAGCGCCAGGGACAAGTCCCTCCGGGATCTCGGAGGCCCGGGCACCTACTCCTCTTGCGGGCTGGTTGCCGGAGAATCCATCCGGAGGTCGGTAGCGCCGAAGGCTACACGCTCTGTCCAAGGCGGTCCCCACGTTAGGTGAGTATTTTCCACTGTGTCCCTTCTCAGAGCCGTCGGGTGTTTAATGAAAGGGGTTTAAAACAGCCGTGTGCATATATCCACCGCTGTGGCTGTCCCCATGTCTGTTTGGTCCAGTCTTCTGACAGGCTGTTCCGCCTGCAGCCTTTGCCAGTGTAGGCGGTCGGCACAACACCAGCCCGGGGACTCCCGTCGCCATGTGGGCCGCCGCCATGAGGTCGGGATTACCCCCGCCGACCATGAGGGGGGGGAGCGGGGCCGCACCGCCGGCAGGCACCGGCCGTGTTAAGTCAGGGCCCCTTCGCGCTGACCGCCCTACTCAGTTGCCGCTTGAGGCTCCAGATCGTGTGTAGGCCGGAGACATCAGCACCCACCTTCCATCTTGCTGTTGGTGGTTATTGGGTGTCTTTCTGATGCTAGGGTTTTGCTCTGCTCCGGTACCGCGAAGATGTCCACTTTGGGGTGTTCAACACACCTTTTTAGTGCGTTTTTCCCGTGCTCGGATCAGGAGCTAAGGTTCATGGCTGCCAGCCGGCCCGGCGGCCCGGCCCCGCCCCCCCACAATATTAATTTGCGTTGTCGTAGATATCACAGCTAGTATAACATCAAGCATTTTCTTGCAAGACTAACAGGTGTGGATACTGGATGACAAAAATGCTAGTGCGCAAAATTTCAAAGAAAAACAACTCAAGTGTTCTTATGCATCCTAAAGTGCTCTTTAAGTATATAAAAAGTGGAACTGATGTTAACTCACAATAAAAATGCATAGGAATACACACATGTGCATATACTTACAACCTGTAAGTATGCACTGATGGTTTCTGTAAATAGGAGACAAAAAGGGACAAGAGAAGCACTCCTAGTGCAATAAAGTTATTAAGATTATATAAAACTTAGAACCCTCTATAGGAATAAAACTCACAAGTTAGGAGTGGTAATAGCCCCACTCAAAGCCCAGGATCAGTCCCTAGAGTGCGTGGGATCCGATAGATGCTCTGGTGACCCGGGGAATAGGTAAAAAAACTTTATTTGATATATTAAAAACCAAAACCTTAGCAGCAAAAAATATAGTCCACCATCTGCTCACCAACCCATAGGGAGTGAAGAAATAACTGCTGTCTTCCTCCTCCTGGTTGTAGCTGTTCTTGCCGGTGTACAAGTTGCAAACACTTCCGTGTTCCTGGTCCCCTGGTTCCGTGACGCGTTTCGCCCCTCCTCCTGGGGCTTTCTCAAACGAGCAGTATGTCCTCCCACTGGAGATCGTCTTTTATTCATAAGCTATGTTGCCATGATCCAATCGGCTTAACAACCTCATTCATATAGAGGTAGTGTTCATAGTTCTTCTAATCCATTAGAATTGTATACTTTCGATTACCAATTCCAGGAAGTATTTGACAGCCGCACAACCCTTATCATGAGGTATACAGGTGTATAAGGAGGTAACATCACAGGTGACTAAGGAGTATCCCTCTTTCCACTTGAAATCTTTCAACATTTTAAGGACATCAGTCTTATTAACAATAGGTTGAAGGAAGGAGTTGATATATTTTGACAAATTATTAGATAGGGACCCAATACCCGAAACAATAGGTCTCCCTGGGGGGTTTAGTAAATCTTTATGAACTTTTGGAAGAACATAAAATACTGGGGTTCTTGGTGTTTTTATATTCAGAAATTCGTATTCTTTACAAGTTAAAATACCTTCCATCTTGCCTTTATCTGGGAGTCTCGTCAAGGACTTCCTCATGTTTCCTAATGGGTCTCCCTCTAATTTAATATAACCCTCAGTGTCCTCCAGTTGTCTCATACATGCTTCCCTGAATCCATTATCACCAGACTACTGCCTTTATCTGCGGTTTGATGACAATCTGATCATTTTCTCTGAGTCCTTTCAAGGCTGTCCTTTCTTCAAAAAGTGAGGTTGTGCTTATTATGTCGGTTATTTATTTGCTTAAAAACGTTAAAAACTGCCTTTTCAAACGCCTCTATACTCCCATGTTTAAGATGATTAGGATAAAAACTCGATTTGTTCTTAAAATGATGTATGTTTAAAATTATCATTCCCCTCTGTTGTCTGTGTAGTATTAGGATGTTTATTCGAAAAAAACTTTTTTATACTTAATCTCCTCCCATATTTCATTAAATCTATATATGCCGGAAATGTGTTAAAATGTCTTGAAGGTGCAAATTTTAGACCTTTATTCAGGACTTTAATTTCATTATTGTTAAGGGGATATGTGGAGATATTGTTGATCCCAATAGGGATCACTGATTGTACCTTTTTTCCTTTCTTTTTCTTTCCTCCTCTACACCCCCGAAACTTATTCTCCTCGTTCTTTTTAATGGAAAATCGTACATTTGGAGTACCTGTTCTACCGTATTGCCTTTTTTTGTTATTCCTTACTTTGATCCACTCTTCCCTCCTATTTTCAACATCTCTCGGTTCTCTATCCCTATTAGAGTGAACCTCTGACCATTGTCTGGGATAAGTGTTACTGGGTTTATTATTAACTGGATTTCTATTCATCCTTTGATATGTATCTGTTTTCCTAGTTGAATGCTCTTTTCTGAAATCTTTTACTCTTCCTCCTTCATAATCCCTCTTATCTCTTTTATATACCGTATACACTCGAGTATAAGACGAGTTTTTCGGCACTTTTTTTGTGCTGAAAAAGCACCACTCGTCTTATACTCGAATCACGGTCTGCATTATGGCAACTTAAATTTCCATAGTACAGACCAGGACCTCCGGGCTCATTACAAGCCCGGCGGTCCTGTGGGGGCTGGCAGCGAGCTGTTACTTACCTTTACAGCAGCTCCTGTCAGCTCCCTTCACCTCCGTGCAGCTCCCCTGTCAGCTCCATTCTGCTCACAGTGTAAGTCTTGCGACACCCGCGGCCGTCAGAGCGTTGCCGCGGGTTACCGTGGCAATGCTCCGCGCGGCACGCAGACCGCGAGACTTACACTGTGAGCTGAACGGAGCTGACAGGGGAGCTGCACGGAGGTGAAGGGAGCTGCCGTAAAGGTAAGTAACAGCTTGCTGCCAGCCCCCCCCCACTGCACAGCCCATCCACTGGACCACCAGGGATTCACATAGCCCCCCTCCCTGGCCAGGCAACAAGCAGGGAGGGGGGACAAAAAAATAATAATTAAATATTAAAATAATTTAAATAAAAATATAAAAAAATAATAATAATTATAATAATATTAAAAATAATAATAATAAAAATTCCTTCCCCCCACCCAGTTTACAAACACTACACAAACACACACACACTCTGTATCATATACACACAGTGTGTGTGTATATAATGCAGAGTGTGTGTTTGTATGAGTGTGTGTATATAATGCAGAGTATGTGTTTGTATGAATGCCGTGTGTGTGTTTGTATGAAAGCAGTGTGTGTATATTATGCAGAGTGTGTGTATATAATGCACAAACTCTGCATTATATGCACACACTCTGCAATATATACACACACACTCTGCATTATATACACACACTGCATTATATACACACACACTCATACAAACACACACTCTGCATTATGTACACACACACTCATACAAACACACACTCTGCATTATATACACACGCTGCATTCATACAAACACACACTGCATTCATTATACACACACACACTGCATTCACACAAACACACATTCTGCACTCATTATATACACACATTACACACAAACACACACACACTGCATTCATTATATACACACACACTGCATTCACACAAACACACACATTCTGCATTAATTATATACACACACTACACACAAACACACACACAAACACACACACTGTAAATAAATATTCAATTAATGTAATTTTATTGGGATCTAATTTTATTTAGAAATTTACCAGTAGCTGCTGCATTTCCCACCCTAGTCTTATACTTGAGTCAATACGTTTTCCCAGTTTTTTGTGTTAAAATTAGGGGCCTCGACTTATATTCGGGTCATCTTATTCTCGAGTATATACGGTATATTTTCTCAAGGCAGAGAGGCCGTCTTGGGCCCAGATTCACCACGTGCTCGCCGCCACATGTCTCCTATCGTGAGCCCTGCACCAGGCTTGTTGGGTCTTGGTTTTTTAGATTTGCGTCCCATGGCGGTCAGGCTAGCAAGGGGGACCTTTCCGCGTGCCAGGGGTGCTTTTCGGAAAGATTGTGGCTGATTTTCAATAGCACGTCTCCGGAGCTCCAGAAACGTGCGACCTCTCACTTTGTCAGTTAGACTCCGCCCCCGGCCCATTTTAAGCTTTCTGGCAGAGGCAGTCCCATGTCCATGTAATATCTTTTAAAGTTTGTAGATATCTGACTGAAAACCATGATACCATGCATCCTAACAAAATGTTCAGGTCCACTGGCAGAAAAACAGCCCCAAATCTTTAAAGAGCCAAATCATATTTAACCGTGGGTATGAGGTGCTTTTCCATATGTCTACCAAGCCCACCTCTACCCTCTATCCCTTTAGACATTCCAGTAGTGTCTGGCAAACTGAAGACGCTTGAGTTTGTTTTTGGATGAGAGCAGAGGCTTTTTTTTTTTTTTTAAACCCTTTCAAACTAGTTGTGGTTATGTAGGTGACATTAGATTGTATTTCTGAGACTTTCTGACCCCAAGACGCAACTAACTTCTGCAATTCTCAAGCTGCGATCCTTGGAGATTGTTTTGACCACTGGAACCATCCTCTTCCCAGTGCATTGAGACAATATAGAGAGATGTTCTCTTCCAGGTTGATTCAGAACATTTCCAGCTTTTGCTATTTTCTTATAGCCACTTCCTATTTTGTGAAGCTCAACTACCTTTTACTGCACATCACAGCTATATGCCTTGGTCCTACCCATTGTGATTCCAATTTGGACTATGTGTTACCTCATATTTATACCCCTGTAAAACAGGAAGCCATGGCTGAACGATTTCCTGTTCCTAGTCACCCAGGTGTACTAAATAATATAAAATAGCAATATAGGGAATATACTTCATATATAATTTTTTCTATTAAGAATTCATTGGGGTGTCAATAATTGAACCACACATATTTTTAACAAAGATTTTTTTTTTTTGGGATAAGCCTGTGTTGTGTTTGCAGTTGTTCTAGCCACAAGAGCAGAGTATTTTTGTGTATTTTTTTTAACAAAAGGTTAAACAAAAAATAAAATTTTCACAGCCTTCTTTGCTCATATTTACTAAGGGTGCTAATATTAATAAAGAGCACTGTACATCAGGCATAACTACCTACAACAATGGTCATCTCAACTCATCAATGACAGTAGTTGTCTTTGCCACACAGGCATAAATCCACTTTAATATGATGTAACAGCATCAGACAGCTTATTTATCCACCACTAGGTGTTGTGCATGTGTAAGTTTCTACTCAGTATGTATGTGTTGTTAGTGGTTAGTATATTTGTGTTCATGTTCAATGCATTTTTGCGCAGGTAATAAACACAAGCCATGGATGGAAGCCCAGTACCAAGGAATTATTATGGAGAATGACAACACGGTTCTACTTAACCCTCCATTGTTTGCTCTGGATAAAGACTCACCTCTGAGATATGCAGGTATGGGGGGAAATGTATACATAAATCTGGCTAAGGGAAATTATTGTGTGTTCAGGGAGCACGGTATAGAACATGCAGGTGGGGTATGTATATGGAAGAGGAGCTAGATTTTGTTTTGTAAATGGAAGTTTTGGAAGAGTTGTATAGAAGAAGGGTTTTATAAAAGAGGGAGTTGGGCAGAGGGGTGTGTAATTAAGGGTATTGGGAAAATACTTTTTGGAAGAGTAGTCTAGGAGGAATTATAACTGAACAGTTGGGGAAAGCATTGTGCAAAAGATGCGTTGGTAGAAGGGGTTGTGTTCATCTGTGGTTATTATTCATGTTTGATATGTGCCTATTTTAGAGTTTTGTGCCTGCCTAAACTGTTGGAGCTGCTACTGTTTGTGATTTAGCTCCTATACTCAACTGCGTATTTTCACCTAGTATTCTCTTCCTCTGGAGTAAGTCAGGTAGATTCATTATAGTAAACATCCCAAACATCAGGCAAGGCTTGATGAAGGGTAAAGCAAGTACAACTTTTACTCAGCAGCTTGCAGGTATATATACACACATTCCCAGCACAGAGTCACCAAGGCACACAACGTAATCCCACCCTGGCACTTTGGTGTCTTGATCATAACCTTATCAACAGCCAAATAATTTAATTAACTACGAGACACCAGGAAGCCTATAAAAAAAAACACCCCAAAACAAGTGTTCCACACATGATATTTCCAAGTGTCATACATCCCCGGAGATCTCTGGTTCTGAGGGGCAAACTGGCCATAAAGCGCCCAGATATGAGGTCTCTATCCCTAGCAATCAGTGGATGAAGTTTGACTTGGCTAGACCATTATCCGATCTGGCGCAAACTTCAACAATGTTTAGTAGTAAGTCCCGGTCCCTGATAACAGCTTCCTGTGGCTGCATAGAAGGGAGCTTCCAAAGGTCCAGGGTATTGTTGGATTACTCATCACCTCCCCAACTTTTCTCCTCCAAATAGCGCTCTGTATGATAGTCAGGATAAATATGCAATTGAAGTTTTACCGGACTGTGGCATATTTGTAACCTGGAAAACAATTACAGGGTGATTAGAGGAACCTCCCGGTCAAGCGCTCTGTACCTAGAATGAGCCTAGATAATTTCCCAGTGTCCCTGGAGCTAGCTGGACAGTACAACTAGGTGTTCTGGTTATTCTGCAGAGCAAATGCACAGGGTGGGGGGGGGGGGTGCAAAAAGTGATTTTAGTCCTTTTGGGGAGAGATTGGTCTGGAGTCCCGAGTCAGTTATCAAAGTGACCGGATCAGTCCATCACACTATTTATTTGGGAGATGGGTTTTATTATTAAGGGGTTTGTGTTCTCTATACTGAGACTATACATATAATCCTTAGTTAGGTATAAGTCACAGTACTGAGGAGTACATGCTTGATACCTAAATATCTTCTGTCAGGTGAGATCTGCGGGTTCAGAATTCATGGTTCTGGGACTCCATTTGAGGCAGTGGTCCTTGACCGAACAACAGGGGAAGGGCTGATCCGTGCCAAAGGTCCCGTTGATTGTGAGGCTCAGAGGGAACACACGTTTACAATTCAAGCCCATGATTGTGGAGAAGGACCTGATGGAAGCAACAGCAAGAAATCTCATAAGTGAGCATGTAATTGTATATTTACCATGTATAAACAAAATGCATGTGAACTTATAGCATGGCTCATCTCCTTCTCTCTGACAGTCAGTTCATTACTCCTATAGAATGGCTCCTCTCCTTCTCTCTGACAGTCAGTTCATTACTCCCATAGAATGGCTCCTCTCCTTCTCTCTGACAGTCAGTTCGTTACTCCCATAGAATGGCTCCTCTCCTTCTCTCTGACAGTCAGTTCATTACTCCCATAGAATGGCTCCTCTCCTTCTCTCTGACAGACAGTTCATTACTCCCGTAGAATGGCTCCTCTCCTTCTCTCTGACAGACAGTTCATTACTCCCATAGACTGGCTCCTCTCCTTCTCCCTGACAGTCAGTTCATTACTCCCATAGAATGGCTCCTCTCCTTCTCACTGACAGTCAGTTCTTACTCCCATAGAATGGCTCCTCTCCTTCTCTCTGACAGACAGTTCATTACTCCCATAGAATGGCTCCTCTCCTTCTCCCTGACAGTCATAGACTGGCTCCTCTCCTTCTCTCTGACAGTCAGTTCATTACTCCCATAGAATGGCTCCTCTCCTTCTCTCTGACAGTCAGTTCATTACTCCCATAGACTGGCTCCTCTCCTTCTCTCTGACAGTCAGTTCATTACTCCCATAGACTGGCTCCTCTCCTTCTCTCTGACAGACAGTTCATTACTCCCATAGAATGGCTCCTCTCCTTCTCTCTGACAGTCAGTTCATTACTCCCATAGACTGGCTCCTCTCCTTCTCTCTGACAGTCAGTTCATTACTCCCATAGAATGGCTCCTCTCCTTCTCTCTGACAGTCAGTTCATTACTCCCATAGAATGGCTCCTCTCCTTCTCCCTGACAGTCAGTTCATTACTCCCATAGAATGGCTCCTCTCCTTCTCTCTGACAGTCAATTCATTACTCCCATAGAATGGCTTCTCTCCTTCTCTCTGACAGACAGTTCATTACAACCATAGAATGGCTCCTCTTCTTCTCCCTGACAGTCAGTTCATTACTCCCATAGAATGGCTCCTCTCCTTCTCCCTGACAGTCAGTTCATTACTCCCATAGAATGGCTCCTCTCCTTCTCTCTGACAGTCAATTCATTACTCCCATAGAATGGCTTCTCTCCTTCTCTCTGACAGACAGTTCATTACAACCATAGAATGGCTCCTCTTCTTCTCCCTGACAGTCAGTTCATTACTCCCATAGAATGGCTCCTCTCCTTCTCCCTGACAGTCAGTTCATTACTCCCATAGAATGGCTCCTCTCCTTCTCTCTGACAGTCAATTCATTACTCCCATAGAATGGCTCCTCTCCTTCTCTCTGACAGACAGTTCATTACAACCATAGAATGGCTCCTCTCCTCCCTGACAGACAGTTCCTTACTACTCTCCCTTCTCCCCTTCTCTTATTATACTTGCTATATTTTTCTGTTATTCACCTTTTATGTTGGTATTTGTGCAGGTAGGAGGATATCCAAATTGGTACTGCCAGACTTCACTTTCTGACCTTATGTTATCACTTCTCACACTTTCTATATGTTTATCCACTTTCCCTCCGACGTCAATAATCATTGTAATTATTATCCTCACTCACTCTCTGCTCCTGTTAGGGCCACAGTCCACGTGCGTGTCAACGATGTCAACGAGTTTGCCCCTGTGTTTGGGGAGCGTGTATTCCGAGCATCAGTTACTGAGGGGCGAATGTATGAGCGGGTACTACGGGTACAGGCATGGGACCAGGACTGCTCCCCCCAATACAGCCAGGTCTGCTTCTACCAGATACTCACTCCCAATGTGCCATTCACCATTGACAATGATGGTAAGTTAAACATGACTATCTACTAAATTGTCACCTCCATGGATAAAATTCAGCCCCTGAAATGTCTTCTTTCATTGTCTCTATATCTTTCTGTGCTTTACACACCTCACTTCTCCACAACAGTCTCCATTTTCTCTCAGCTTCATCCAAATCTCTCCTCACACATTCTCCATCTCTCTGTGCTGAATCCATCCCTCCCGTCACACTTTCTCCATCTCTCTGTGCTGAATCCATCCCTCCCGTCACACTTTCTCCATCTCTCTGTGCTGAATCCATCCCTCCCTTCACACTTTCTCCATCTCTCTGTGCTGAATCCATCCCTCCCTTCACACTTTCTCCATCTCTCTGTGCTGAATCCATCCCTCCCGTCACACTTTCTCCATCTCTCTGTGTTGAATCCATCCCTCCCGTCACACTTTCTCCATCTCTCTGTGTTGAATCCATCCCTCCCTTCACACTTTCTCCATCTCTCTGTGTTGAATCCATCCCTCCCGTCACACTTTCTCCATCTCTCTGTGCTGAATCCATCCCTCCCGTCACACTTTCTCCATCTCTCTGTGTTGAATCCATCCCTCCCTTCACACTTTCTCCATCTCTCTGTGCTGAATCCATCCCTCCCGTCACACTTTCTCCATCTCTCTGTGCTGAATCCATCCTAACCGTCACACTTTCTTCATCTCTCTGTGCTGAATCTATCCCTCCCATCACACTTTCTCCATCTCTCTGTGTTGAATCCATCCCTCCCGTCACACTTTCTCCATCTCTCTGTGTTGAATCCATCCCTCCCGTCACACTTTCTCCATCTCTCTGTGCTGAATCCATCCCTCCCTTCACACTTTCTCCATCTCTCTGTGCTGAATCCATCCCTCCCTTCACATTTTCTCCATCTCTCTGTGCTGAATCCATCCCTCCCGTCACACTTTCTCCATCTCTCTGTGCTGAATCCATCCCTCCCGTCACACTTTCTCCATCTTTCTGTGCTGAATCCATCCCTCCCTACACACTTTCTCCATCTCTCTGTGCTGAATCCATCCCTCCTGTCACACTTTCTCCATCTCTCTGTGCTGAATCCATCCCTCCCGTCACACTTTCTCCATCTTTCTGTGCTGAATCCATCCCCCCCTTCACACTTTCTCCATCTCTCTGGATGTTGCCTGTCTCACTCCACCACAACCTGAATTTTCCACCTCTGGCTTCTCTCACCTTGTCACTTTGTCCTCTATTCTGTACCTGCTTCTCTCTCCCGTTATCCTTGTCTTTTCCCTTTTCAAACACAATATTCTCTTTCCTTGCTTTTCTCATTATGCTCTCTTTTCCCTTATCTTATTCCTCCCTGTTTCTTGTTACCCTACTGTCCCTTTTCTCCTTGCTTAAAGTTGCCAAATCACTATTTGATTTGAGGGTACCTATGAAAGATGCATATTTTGGGGTGGCATTTGTTATACTGTCCTGAAGTATGTATTTTTATAGACATTATCAAATCAACTATTGATCTTGAAACTCTACTCCTGCTGCTCTCACCCTTCCCACCTGTGATCATCTCTTCACTTCTCTCTCAACTCACTGTCTCTCTGTTTATTCACTTCCATAGGATACATTAAGAACACACAACCCTTGCAGGCCAATGGTGAACGCCTGATCAGATTCACTGTTACTGCATATGACTGTGGGAAGAAACGGGCTGTGGAAGATGCCGAGGTGGAAATCCAGGTTAAACCCACATGCAAACCCAGCTGGAGAGGTAACACCTCAGTGTGAGCACGCAACATAAAGCAAGTGTTATTGTATCATGTGTATCAGTGTGAGCAGGCATCATATACCATGTGTTATTATCACACAGTGTGTATTAGTGTGAGCACACAACATATAGCATCTGTTATTATCACACAGTGTGTATCAGTGTGAGCATACAACATATAGCATCTGTTATTCTCACACAGTGTGTTTCAGTGTGAGCACGCAGCATATAGCATGTGATATTATCACACAGTGTTCATCAGTGTGAGCAGGCATCATATATACCAATTGTACAGCGCTGCATAATTTGATGGCGATATATAAATAATAAAATAATAATAAAGCATGTGTTATTATCACACAGTGTGTATCAGAGTGAGCAGGCATCATATAGCATGTGATATTATCACACAGTGTGTATCAGAGTGAGCAGGCATCATATAGCATGTGTTATTATCACACAGTGTGTATCAGTGTGAGCACACAACATATAGCATGTGTTATTATCACACAGTGTGTATCAGAGTGAGCACACAACATATAGCATGTTTTACTATCACACAGTGTGTATCAGTGTGAGCACGCAACATATAGCATGTGTTATTATCACACAGTGTGTATCAGAGTGAGCACACAACATATAGCATGTGTTACTATCACACAGTGTGTATCAGTGTGAGCACGCAACATATAGCATGTGTTATTATCCCACAGTGTGTATCAGAGTGAGCATGCAACATATAGCATGTGTTATTATCACAGAGTGTGTATCAGAGTGAGCATGCAACATATAGCATGTGTTATTATCACACAGTGTGTATCAGTGTGAGCACGCAACATATAGCATGTGTTATTATCACACAGTGTGTATCAGAGTGAGCACACAACATATAGCATGTGTTACTATCACACAGTGTGTATCAGAGTGAGCACGCAACATATAGCATGTGTTATTATCACACAGTGTGTATCAGTGTGAGCATGCAACATATAGCAAGTGTTATAATCACATAGTGTGTATCAGTGTGAGCAGACAACATATAGCATGTGTTATTATCACACAGTGTGTATCAGAGTGAGCATGCAACATATAGCAAGTGTTATAATCACATAGTGTGTATCAGTGTGAGCAGACAACATATAGCATGTGTTATTATCACAGAGTGTGTATCAGAGTGAGCATGCAACATATAGCATGTGTTATTATCACACAGTGTGTATCAGTGTGAGCACGCAACATATAGCATGTGTTATTATCACACAGTGTGTATCAGAGTGAGCACACAACATATAGCATGTGTTACTATCACACAGTGTGTATCAGAGTGAGCACGCAACATATAGCATGTGTTATTATCACACAGTGTGTATCAGTGTGAGCATGCAACATATAGCAAGTGTTATTATCACACAGTGTGTATCAGTGTGAGCACGCAACATATAGCATGTGTTATTATCACACAGTGTGTATCAGAGTGAGCACACAACATATAGCATGTGTTACTATCACACAGTGTGTATCAGAGTGAGCACGCAACATATAGCATGTGTTATTATCACACAGTGTGTATCAGTGTGAGCATGCAACATATAGCAAGTGTTATAATCACATAGTGTGTATCAGTGTGAGCAGACAACATATAGCATGTGTTATTATCACACAGTGTGTATCAGTGTGAGCATGCAACATATAGCAAGTGTTATAATCACATAGTGTGTATCAGTGTGAGCAGACAACATATAGCATGTGTTATTATCACACAGTGTGTATCAGAGTGAGCATGCAACATATAGCATGTGATATTACCACACAGTGTGTATCAGTGTGAGCATGCAACATATAGCATGTGATATTATCACACAGTGTGTATCAGTGTGAGCACACAACATATAACATGTGTTATTGTCCCACGGTGTGTATCAGAGTGAGCACACAACATATAGCATGTGTTATTATCACACAGTGTGTATCAGTGTGAGCAGGAAACATATAGCATGTGTTATTATCACACAGTGTGTATCAGTGTGAACAGGCAACATATAGCATGTATTATTATCACACAGTGTGTATCAGAGTGAGCATGCAACATATAGCATGTGTTATTATCACACAGTGTGTATCAGAGAGAGCACACAACATATAGCATGTGTTACTATCACACAGTGTGTATCAGTGTGAGCATGCAACATATAGCATGTGTTATTATCACACAGTGTGTATTCGTGTGTGCACACAACATATAGCATGTGTTATTATCACACAGTGTGTATCAGTGTGAGCAGGAAACATATAGCATGTGTTACTATCACACAGTGTTTATCAGAGTGAGCACGCAACATATAGCATGTGTTATTATCACACAGTGTGTATCAGTGTGAGCAGGAAACATATAGCATGTGTTACTATCACACAGTGTGTATCAGAGTGAGTATGCAACATATAGCATGCAAGTGAACCACAAATTCATCAAACAGTATCCCATTATTACTATTAAAATGGTTAAAATGTTTCCGCTTGTAGGCTGGAACAAACGCATTGAATATGTGCCTGGGACAGGTAATCTGGCTCTGTTTCCCAGCATTCACTTGGAGACATGTGAGGAACCAGTCTGGAGTATACAAGCCACTATTGAAATCCAAACGAGTCACGTTGCCAAAGGATGTGACCGTGACAACTATTCAGAAAAGTCATTACGCAAGCTATGCGGTATGTGCAAGAATGTAATCATAATATACATATTCCTCTCCTCAAATAAACATTCATTCCTCTGGGAGAAGAGGAGCATGAACTAACAGATATAATTGTACCTCTGTGATAAATAGTGATAAAATGCACGCGATAATCATCGCTTGCAAACGAACGCACATTAAAAAAAAAGAACATTCCAAATTTATTTATCATCGCATAACATGTGCTATGTGAGATGGAAGGTGCGAAATGTTGTGAGACTTTCTATTGGTTTCCATGGTGATTGGTCCTTATTTAGCACTATCCGTTGATAAGCCTCCCTCATTCATTATTTTTGTGTATAGCCAAAGTGCTAAAATAGTTTAAATTTACAATAATGACAATAACCAACAACTTGCTATTTAGTAAATCACTACTTTTCCTTAACTCAAATAAAATAGTATTTGTAGCAATAAAAAAAACAAACTGTAAACATGTTATTTAACATTCCCAGCGAATCTTCATAATCTACACATTATCAAGTCAGCGAATAAAATAATTTAAAATCTTAAGATCGCCATGCAACTTGTAAGTATATATCGTGTGTCTGGAAAAACAGGTTTCCATATAAACAGACTAATCAGCGCGCATTTACGGCCCAGATGTAAGTCTGCTAATGTACGGAGCTGGGACACAACAGGTGGGATTGAAGAAGAGGTGGGAGTTAGTTACTGCTTCCATTCACATGAAGAATGCTTTTCACCAAGAAAATGGTGCATTAAAGGGATATTCTAAGCAGCAAAACAACTTCAGCTTAATGAAGCAGTAAATGTTTGAGACCTAAGTGGGGACCTGTCAAACACTGCTATCCATGCCTAAGTTACTGGCTACTGCAAGTACTGTTAAGTGACTGCTGGGAATGGACAGAACAGCAGCACTTAAAGGAACACTATAGTGTTAGGAATACACACATATTGCTGGAGTAACTATTAGGTCCCCTCAGAGTGGAGTGAAAAGGTAATTTATTTACGTTTTCTCCATTGCTGCACCAGTCTTACCGCGGCTGGCCTTACCTCCATGGATGAGATCATCAATCTTGATGATCTCAGCCAATCCAATGCTTTTCCGTAGGAAAGCATTTGGAGGCTATTGTGCAAACACAGCAAAATGCTGGGCTGCGGCAATCAGCATCTTCTCATAGAGATGCATTGAATCAATGCATCTCTATGGGTAGCGTTCAGCTTCTCCTTCATGGAGACACAGAACGTAGGTGCTGCACATTGTGCATCACTGACCCAGGAAGCAACTCTAATGGCCGTTTGAGTGACTGCACCTAGAGGTGTTACTAGGCAGTAATGTAAACACTGACTGCATTAAACTGCTCTGGGAGTGCACAGCGTCACACTGCCCCAGTACATTCCCAGGAGCAGAAAAAATTATATCCCATCAGGCATTTTCATAGTGACTGCGTCTGGACAAGCAAAGATTTAAGGGCCCAGAATATTTGAAGCTAATGAGTTATAAGATGAGAATCCTAACTCCAAACTAAAATCTCCTTATTTTCTTCTCTTTTTGCCACTGTAGGGGCAGCACCAGGTGATGTCGACCTCCTTCCACCTTCTAGTACAGGATATAACTGGACACGAGGACTTCCTGTGCAGGAAACACAGGATAGCAGTCTAGTGTTTTGGTTCAATGGATCTCAGTCTGTTGAAATTCCTCCTGCTCGTCTCCCAGCAGGGGGCAGCGCTGCCGACCACCTCACCCTTTCCTTCTGGCTGAAGCATGCCGGTGGTGGAGGGAAGTCAGGGAAGGATGAAGAGGTTCTCCTGTGTAATACTGTGCAAAATGGTGAGAATTAGCACAACTTAAATTGGATGGTGGAACGTTAGTATTGTGTGCTAGTGAGGGAGGAATAGTAAGGTATCGTGTATGTTAAAACACCCTTCAAAGAAATAAACCGCCATTATCATCCCCAGCCCACCTTATCCTTACATTATAATGCCCTGCTCACCCTTTCACTTTCTCTCCTTACATTATAATCCCCAGCCCTGCCTTTCACTACCTCTCCTTTTGTTATAATGTCCTGCTCACCCTTTCACTTCCTCTCTTTATATTATAATCCACAGTCCACTCTTTCACTTCATCTCTTTATATTATAATCCACAGTCCACCCTTTCACTTCCTCTCTTTATATTATAATCCACAGTCCACCCTTTCACTTCCTCTCTTTATATTATAATCCACAGTCCACCCTTTCACTTCCTCTCTTTATATTATAATCCACAGTCCACCCTTTCACTTCATCTCTTTATATTATAATCCACAGTCCACCCTTTCACTTCCTCTCTTTATATTATAATCCACAGTCCACCCTTTCACTTCCTCTCTTTATATTATAATCCACAGTCCACCCTTTCACTTCCTCTCTTTATATTATAATCCACAGTCCACCCTTTCACTTCCTCTCTTTATATTATAATCCACAGTCCACCCTTTCACTTCCTCTCTTTATATTATAATCCACAGTCCACCCTTTCACTTCCTCTCTTTATATTATAATCCACAGTCCACCCTTTCACTTCCTCTCTTTATATTATAATCCACAGTCCACCCTTTCACTTCCTCTCTTTATATTATAATCCACAGTCCACCCTTTCACTTCTCTCTTTATATTATAATCCACAGTCCACCCTTTCACTTCCTCTCTTTATATTATAATCCACAGTCCACCCTTTCACTTCCTCTCTTTATATTATAATCCACAGTCCACCCTTTCACTTCCTCTCTTTATATTATAATCCACAGTCCACCCTTTCACTTCCTCTCTTTATATTATAATCCACAGTCCACCCTTTCACTTCCTCTCTTTATATTATAATCCACAGTCCACCCTTTCACTTCCTCTCTTTATATTATAATCCACAGTCCACCCTTTCACTTCCTCTCTTTATATTATAATCCACAGTCCACCCTTTCACTTCCTCTCTTTATATTATAATCCACAGTGCACCCTTTCACTTCCTTTCCTTACAGTAATTTCCCAGCCCACCCTTTCACTTCCTCTCCTTTTATTATGATATTATAATGCTCTGCTCACCCTTTCACTTCCTCTCCTTATCTTATTATCCCCATCCCACCCTTCACTTCCTCTCCTTATATTATAATGCTCTCCTCTTCCTTTCACTTCCTTTCCTTCTCTTCCTAGAGGGCAGCTTCTCACATTATACTCTGGCTGTACACGGCTGCCGGATCTCCTTCCTGTACTGGTCACTACTGGACAGTGCTCGACCTGTCAAATTTCTCTGGAAACTAGAGCAGGTACTAAATACCACAGAGCGGTGAATCCTAACCAACAGCCCTGGAGGTCTGAGAGGCATTATTCACATGTGCAGACAAGGAACTTACCAGACCTGCCCCAGAATCCGCACGCTGACAGAGCATTACCAGCCCTCTGAAAAAGTGCATGAATCTGTTGGTTTGTGTTGGGAGCAATGTGTAAACCATTATTTACCTGTACACATGACTGCATGATACCCTTTTAGGAAGGTCCCATACACTTCTCAAACTGGATCATTATAGGGCCTCTATAGTCCTAATGAAATGGTCGGGGTGCAGTGGTCCTGTCATTTTAAAGGCTCCATACGGAATTATAGGTGTGAATATAGGAATGGTTATAAGGAGCTATATGTGTTATTGCTATATGGAGTTATAGGTGTGATTGTTGGAGGAGCTATAGGTGTGATTGTTGGAAGGGCTATATGGAGCTATAGGTGTGATTGTTGGAAGGGCTATGTGGAGCTATAGGTGTGGTTATAGTAAGGGCTATATGGAGCTATCAGTGTTATTGTTGGAAGAGCTATGTAAAGCTATAAGAGTTGTTATAGTAAGGGCTATATAGCGTTATAAGAGTTGTTATAGTAAGGGCTATATGGAGCTATAGGTGTGATTGTTGGAAAGGGCTCCATGGAGCAAAATGAACTGTGATAGAAAGCAGTATTATGACAAACGGGGCATATGTAAGAAGTCTACAAGGAGTATCAGGAGGTAATGAAGATGTATTTATAGCAATAGGAATAGTAATATAGTGGCATTATATGGAGCGCAAAAGGAGTTGTTATAGTGAGTTTACCCACAGAATAACAGTCATGAGCTGGGTAGCAACAGCATAAGCTATCAAACCTTTAAATGTGTGCTGAATATGCCACATTTTCAAATATTATTATTATTATTATTATTTATAAAGCGCCAATATCCGTAAAAGCTGGCGTGTTCAAAGCCTGGAGCTGATTGGCCCTGCATTATCTTGTCTTTCCTTTTCAGGTATGCGATGGTGAATGGCATCATTATGCTCTCAGCCTTGCGTTCCCTACGGTTTCTCTCTATGTGGATGGAGTGACGTACGACCCTGCACTAATCCATGACAATGGGGCTCTCCCCCCTCCCAAACGCCAGGCCAGGCTGATGATAGGGGGGTGCTGGGCAGGTGAGGATGTAATGAGTATAAATGAGTGGGGAGACACATGAAACAAAAGCAAAGTTGGTTTTGGGGTGATTATGTACAAAATGGGTGAAAGCAATAAGGAAAGGAATAATTTCCAGTTTTGTTTTGTAACAGACGAGAAACTATCAGGAAAGTCAAATGGAAATGAGACAACCAGAGCAGCAGGTACAGTGTATTAGTGTGTTTACACCTTGAGCTATATCACAAAATAACTATTTATAACTATCGCAGCTTCCAAAGGAATATGTCACATCTCCTCTCTTCCCCACTCCCCATCCGATTTTCCGATTTTATAAATGTTAAAAAAAATATGAAATGATTTATATTGTAGGTGCTGTCACTGGACGCTTTCTGCGCGGTTATGTGTCTGGTTTCGCTCTGCGGTTGGGGTCTGTGGATTCGCGGGAGGTGATCGAATGTCTGTACTCATGCAAAGAGGGATTACAATACACAGACTTTGACAGCTTGGGGAAAGGTATGAAGGTATGTCATCTCGGACCCGTCTGTACCTCTACAGACGTGTAGTAAATAGAGTTTTTTTTTTATATCTGTCCAGGTATGGACATATTGTGTTAAATTGTATTTGTGTGACAGTTTGTATAATAGTCAGTGTGATATTTGAGGGTATGTATTGCAGTTGGTATAAGACTTTGTATCACCATTTCTTTCTTTTAGCTGTAGTGAGATTATGTAATTCATGTCACAAATGGCACTGCGTTACAGCAGTTGTCTTGTATTAAAGTGAAACTCAAATATACCTGTGAGTTTCCTTCACAGCATATATATATGCTGGGAATTTTTACAAAATCCAGTTCTAAACACCATAATTCTCTGGGGTTTTTATCCAGGTTCATGTGAATCCTGCTCAGTCCCAGTTGACCCTTGAAGGCGATGATCCTACGTCTTTTAGCCGGGCTTTGCAACATGTAGAATATCTCAACTCACTACAGTTTCCAACCCCAGGAGTTAGGCCTCTTAAACTACAAACTATTGTCAGGTGAGTGACTTTCTCTCTTCCTCTCTGTCTGATATCACTCATGGGGACCGTCTTTCTTACTGATGTCTGACTCATTGATGAGGCTGTCAACTTCTCTCTTTCAACTCCACAGGTGTCTCAGTGATGAGGGCTGTCTCTCTGTACCAGATTTAGAGGGATATCTTGTGGTTCTCCAGCCAGACGCTCCCCAAGTTCTGCTGTCTGGATCCCCTCGCTCTGCACATCCCATTTCTGATTTTCAGGGCCCCCTTGGGGTCCCCATATTCCCAGACCTCAGGATCACCTGTTCTGTTTCACACTCTCTGACACCCAACAAGCTGGAGAGAGCCCCAAGGGCTGGTAAGGACCAGTTTCTGCTTTCATGCCTTAAATTGTGAATCTCCCTTTCTGTCTCTCAGTCTTGGTCTTTGTTCTAGATTTGCAGTCTACGGATGGCATTGAGTGTGCCTTGGAGAGGTGTGAGGTTGGAGTAGTAGGGGAAGATTTAAATCTGGAGTATGAGAGTCTGTCTCTAGATATGTCTTCTGCATGGCAGAGAGGGCTGGAGACTGAAAACAGTTCCCGGAGCTTTAGAATTACAGGTACTACTGGAGGACATCCATAAAAGATTATACAAGATCCTTCTAGATCAGGGGTGAACATATGGTAGATCCCCATGTGTTGCAGCTTCCATGATGCTTTACCATTTTAAAGGCTGGTAATGCATCATGGCCGTTGTAGATCTACATTTTGCCCACCCATGTTCTCGATGTACTGTCTTATCTATATGTAGAGGTTCCTCTGATCCATGTACTTTTTTCCCATCTTCAATCAGGTGTTCAGAATGTAGCAGTATATGAGGACATCTTGCGTAGTCTGACATACCGGACAGGAGTCCGAGCGGCTTTATACGCGCGCAAATTTCACGTGTCTTGCAGTGAGATGAATGGGAGATATGTGAGCAATCAGCTCTATACAGAGGTATGTGTGGCTAGATTTTTTCTATAGTGCTCACAGGTGTCCATGTTGCAATCAGCTCTATACATTACAATGTAACAACAAATGAAAACAGCAGCACAAGACACAGAGTTCACCACCCCAAAATACATACTGAACGACAGGAAGATGTGGAGGAATAAAAGGAAATCAAAACAACAAGCTTAAAGGACCACTATAGTGCCAGGAAAACATATTCGTTTTCCTGGCACTATAGTGCCCTGAGTGTGCCCCCACCCTCATGGTCCCCCTCCCGCTGGGCTCTAGGGGGAGGAAGGGGTTAAACTTACCTCTTTCTCCAGCGCCGGGCTGGAGACTCTACTCCTCTTCGGCTGAATGCGCATGCGTGGCACGAGCCGCGCGCGCATTCAGCCAGTCTCATAGGAAAGCATTCACAATGCTTTCCTATGGGCGCTGGCGTCTTCTCGCTGTGAAAATCACAGTGAGAAGCGCGGTAGCGCCTCTAGCGGCTGTCAATGAGACAGCCACTAGAGGCTGGATTAACCTTATTATAAACATAGCAGTTTCTCTGAAACTGCTGTTTATAGAAAAAAAGGGTTAAACCTAGCTTGACCAGGCACCCAGACCACTTCATTAAGCTGAAGTGGTCTGTGTGCCTATAGTAATCCTTTAAGGTAGACAGAAAAAACTTCACCAAAGTGAGAATTCTAAGTGAATTTAACATTTAAGGTCAAAACCTTAACCAAATTTGAGGATTTCTCTCATGTTAGCCATGCTTTCAGTTCACCTACTATGGCCGTAAATTTGGAATTAACGTTGAACTTTAGTGAACAACATTGTGAAACAAGAAGAATGAGAAATAGCAAAGAAAATACAAGAAATATATTATGTGTATTTGAGATGACTTTAAAGAACATGTATACACTGATCAGCCAAAACATTAAAATCACCGACAGGTGAAGTGAACAACATTGATTATATCGTTACAATGATACGGGTCAAGGGATGGGATATATTAGGCAGCAAGAGAACAGTCAGTTCTTGAATTTCATGTGTTGGAGACAGAAATAATGGGCAAGCAAAAATATCTGAGTGACTTTGACAAAGGTCAAACAGTGATGGCTAGGTGACTAGATCAGATATTCTTCAAAAGCGCAATATTGTGGGGTGTTCTTGGTATGCAGTGGTTAGTACCAAAAGTGGTGCAAGGAAGGGTAAATGGTGAACAAGCATCAGGGTCATGGGTGCCAAAGACTCATTGATGCACGTGGGGTGTGAAGGCTAGCTCATCTGGTCGAATCACATACTGTACCTCGAATTGCTGAAAAACATAATGCTTGCCATGATAGAAAGGTGTCAGAAAACACAGTGTATAGGGCTGCGTAGTCGCAGATCGTTCAAAGTGTCCGTGATGTCCACTGTCCACCGCCTTTCAGGACCAGGGTTAGACTCTTACATTGACAGTTCTATCATATCACTGGCCCTGAGAGTTTCCCTAGACCCCTCTGGATTTGGTAATACATTTAAATATTAAGTATTCCAAAATTTAGATGTAGGTTACTGAATTTCATATTGATTATAGCATGGTTTGCAGAGTGAAATGTCTAGCTGCATGATGATGTCTAAATGAAATATATTACAAGGGTTGACACAGATGTAGCCCCGGAGCTCTCACCATTATGCCCCATATCTTACAACCCGAAATTTGCCCCTGCATCGGACCCCCACTACACGGCTGCCCTGGGCTTGCCGACCCCCTGCAGAGTGAAGGACGTCTATGACCAAGGCACAATCACGCCCCTGACCACTCTGGTCCCGAATACCCCACACAATATGCTCCTACGCTTTAGATATCACCAACTGACAAGGTTTCTGAGAAGCATACCGACCCTAAATTCGGCAACGCGAACACTCTCTGTATTCGAGACCATATGCATGAACCCCCCCCCACACGCGATATCGCTACTATATCGCATGCAAACCACCACCACCACTAACGCACCCCTCCCTTACTTCACAAAATACTGGGAAAGGGATCTAGGACACTCAATTTCAACGGAACAATGGACAACGGTGTTTACACTCACACATAAAGCCTCCATCTCCACCAAATTCCAAGAAACAGGATATAAAATGCTCTCCCACTGGTACAGGACACCGGAAAAACTTAGCATGATGAAAACCACAAATGACCCGGAATGCTGGAGATGCGGGAGAGAACTGGGATCCCTCTTCCACATATGGTGGTCCTGCCCCCTTATCCAGCCCTTTTGGGCAGAGATCCACAAGATACTCACAACCATAACAGAAGCAAACCTACCCCTCTCACCAGACACATACCTGCTCCAACTTACACAGACCCCAATCAACAAATTAAAAAAAACAGCACTCCCACACCTAATAAACGCAGCCCGCAGCCTCATCCCGAGACACTGGAAACAACACATGGCCCCGACTATCAGAGAATGGATAACGAGAGTGGAAGACATCAGACGCATCGAGGAACTCATCCACTCCGCAACGGGACGCATACAATGTTACCATGATGCATGGTACCACTGGCTCCAATGGCTCGCCTCCACCGCACCAATTACGGGGACCACACAACACCTGACAGCAGAGGCAGATGGGACGGTCCAGACGGAACAGACGGACGACAATACGGAAGCTGAACCACCGACCCAACCAAACCAAGACGACCACTCAGAGCCGGAGATGCCCCTTGCCCCGGAGGCGGGGGGGGTTGAGGTGGGGACCCGGGACCTGACACCCCACCCCCTACCCTCCCGCACCTTACCCTCACCTGCAATGCCCTCACCCCATTAACCTACACTCCCATCCCACCCGCCCCCCACAACACACGTTAAAATACATGACCAACTGCCGACAGGCTGCCTTGAGAATGCCACCTACACTCGCAGAAACGCCACCTCCCTTACAGGACAGACCATACACCACAGCACCCACAAAGACCCACCATGACCAACACATATCGGACAAGGGATGAACCAACCCAACAAGACTGTCCAAACGCCCAATACCCAAGTGCACTACACCACGATACCAGAACCCACCCAACCCTCACAACCCGGGACAGCACCCGCTCGACCAATACACCCCCGACACTAATAGGATCCCCAAACAGACACAGAAGGACACCAACACAGAAGGGACACCCCAACAAGACTACACCCCGACGCATGACACACACACAGCCACCGCCCACACACATCAAAGAACAGCGACTAGCGCAAAGGGGACACCCACAACAAACGCGCACACAGGACAAAAACTACCTGACGGACCCTCGACCCCCAAACGCCCCACTACTCGACAACCACTCCCTACCCCCCACCCCAACGGATCAGTAGAGACGCTCTCAGGAAGCAGGGCTAGACAAGGTCACAGCAGGAGCACTAAAGTTTCTGCCTTATCGCAGTTTATCTGCTTCCCAACACAAACATACCAATTAATAAAATGACTGAATCTGAGTGTTCTCTATAGCTTTCATGTCTAAAACTTGTGAGAATGGCGAAAATATTCTCTTTCTATTTTTCTAAGACTAGTTCCTTCTTGAAAACTGTCAATGCTGAAAGATGTTGCAATGTAGGAATGGAATCAGATGCTCGCTATTGCTTTGTAAAATTGCTCTCTTCACATAAATACTAACGATACCTTTATACCAAATGAACAATAACTGACATGTACACTATTTTTGCCACCTTCTGTATTGATGCATATAACTTTGTATTGCCAATTGTTATGATGTCAATAAAAGCAAATTGAATGATAAAAAAAAAAAAAAAACATAATTTTGCCGCTCTCAAGTGGCCTTTTTGTTTTTACAAACATTGACTGCATCCTCCGCAATAGGCATTTCCAAAATAAATTCTCATTTCAACACCAAAAAAATAAATAAAAAAAAGAAATATATTACAAGGGTTGAATCTGTAAGTTTTATTTTCTACTCAATAATCTATATTTTCAGTCATCTTAAGCCTTGAAAGTATAAAAAAAAACAATTCTGCAACACGTTTAAAAATAAAGCTGCCACCAATTGCAAAGCCTGCTGACAAGTCGTGTTAATGTTAAAAATATCTCTCAAACATAGGTCAGTGTAACGGCAATTTCCCCTCGAAGCAAGGTTTATTCTTCCCAGCATGTAACCTCAAGGACATGGTTTAAAATAACAACATTAACAATAAATGATTTTTAAAAATGTACAAATAAAAATGATAAACTTATCCTCCAACCTTAAAATGAAGGAAAGAGCCAGTTATCCTCAAACCTTCAAAAATAGGCATGGGGTCATCTACAAACATTCAGTTTGTAGACATAGGCTTTGTTGGGACCTCATTACAGCAAAAGGACTGTGAAAAGGAACTTTGGCTTTCCTCCACCCCCACTGTGGAAAGAGAACTTTGGCTTTCCTCCATCGCCACTGTGAAAAGAGAACTTTGGCTTTCCTCCATCCCCATTATGGAAAGAGAACTTTGGCTTTCCATTATCCCCACTATGGAAAGAGAACTTTGGCTTTCCTCCATCCCCATTATGGAAAGAGAACTTTGGCTTTCCATTATCCCCACTATGGAAAGAGAACTTTGACTTTCCTCCATTCCCACTGTGGAAAGAGAACTTTGGCTTTCCTCCGTCCCCACTATTGGAAGAGAACTTTGGCTTTCCTCCATGCCCACTTTGGAAAGAGAACTTTGGCTTTCCTCCATCCCCACTTTGGAAAGTGAACTTTGGCTTTCCTCCATCCCAAACATGGAAGGGATTACCCCCAACCTTAATACTGAAAGAAGAGATCAGATGACCGCCAATATCACCAAAGAATGAGGACATCAGTTCTCCTCCAACCTCACCCCTCAAACTCAACGCAGAAAGAAGACATCAATTGTCTTCCACCCTATATACAGAAAGATTACATTGACTTGTTCCTCTTTTCCAACAATGTTTACACATTGATCCTTAACCCCTGACCTATTATTCTGCTGCTGAATTACAAACTCTAAAGCATTTCTTTAATTTCCACATATTACATAATGTTTACATATCCCTGATTTCATGTTGCTTTATTACATGGACTGAAACATGTACCATATAAACATGTTCCACTTTTTCAGCTTGATGTATTACATGGGATTCATGCAGTATCACCCAGTCATCTCCTGTCTGGCCAGCAGTTTGTCCACAATGTCCACCAGGCTCCGGTAGCGTTATCCTCCCACACACTGACCACTGCTAACCGCAACTCAGGTACGTATATAGGATCAATGCCAGAAAGAGTCTAAGTAGCAAACACAAGCCAGCCTGTGTGTCACACATTTGTTTGTTTGCAGTGTTTCCCGGAGTTGCCATGGTCATTATCGTTGTATGTGTTGGGTTCTTGGCTCTGATTGTCACATTGGGCTTATCACGGATACACAGTGTACGGCAGAGGGATGGCATTGACAGTGTGGAGCTAGAGGCATCCAACCAAAGGGACCCATTCTGGGAAGACTCTGCAATGACCATAACTGTAAACCCCATGGAGGTGAGCGCCTGCATCCATCACATTACACCAATACAAGACAATATTGTTTTATATAACGCAAAATATGCAGTTCTCACACCTGATGAGCCGAGCATGTTTAATTATAGGTGAGGTTGATTAGAACTAAAATTACATGAAAAATAGTACCGGTAAGTAAAATGAAGATGTATAAAGTCATAAGCACTTAACAAATAAATGGGCTCTTCTAATGCAGTCTATAGTTCTGTAATATTAGGGTGGATCTATCCAGTCACTGTGTTAATTCTTAGCTATCAAACAGGATCAGTCAATACCGTGATTAAAAAAACTGATATGCACATGTCAGGGGAGGTCTACAGTATAGTCAACACTCGGAAATCAATAATCTTTCTGGGGGGAAAAAGTAATTGGGTTCATACTGTGAGGTCTTGAAAGATTTGTCCAGGAGGAGCAATTGGACCAATTGTCTGGGATCAAGATTTATCTACTGACGAGTCATCAGATGATCATTGATTGAAAAAGAGTATCTAAGCAACAAACCCCCAGCACACAAGTGCAAATATCTCTGAATACGCAGCACTTTTAAAAGCAGATGTGTTTTTTAATGCAGTTAGAGTATCCCTTTACATGTGAGACGCTTTTTGTTTGTAACACACAAACACCCTTCTTCTATTACGCTGTCTTGTCTGATCAGAAAAGATTTTAAGAGGAGCACCATGTTTGAAGTGGGTATGGTAAGACACATATATACACATTTTTTTAGAAGCTTGGATGATCCTGCTGTCAGAGACAGGGCTAACCCACTAAATCTTGTGTCTATCTAGGAGTAAGCATTGAATTTATAACTCTGTATAAAAATACACATAAACTAATATGTTATTTATCATTAAATAAATATATATCTAACACATCTATGTGAATGCAGGATCGTTTCAGAAACACAGCAGGCAGGGACGCCTGATAGAGTAAGGATTTGTCATGAGACTAGTGCACAAATTGATTTCAGCTGCGTTGAACAAAACAAATGCCTGTCAATCCATGGGCGAACAAATCGATTCATTATGCAAATTCAAAAAAATTAATTTGCCTATCCATGGATTGATGGGAGTTTCATCTATCCACAAGTCTAACAGTCAGTGTGATGGTATTAAATATAAGCACCAAAATACATTAGTATCCTAGCATGAAATATAAGTTTCAGAGTATATTCTTTCTAGCTAAACCTATCTCCCAACATCTGGGGTGCCTGTCTTGACTAAATATGCATTTGCCACCAGGGAGCGTGTTCAGTTTCACTGCTCTGTGTCTGGACTGCATGTATGAACCTATGTAGGAGGAAAAAGTAGATTTTGCTCTCTGGTGTCTGAAAAGATTCATATAGGATGGGTAGTAGAATGAGACTGTACTTCCCAAGAGGGGTCTATATACGAGGGGATAGAATTATTTCTTTAGGGTTAAGGGGATTTACACATGAGAAGGTAGTGATTATTTCTGCATGGTCAGGAGGAGGAGGAGGTATAACCCATTCTGTAAGTAGAAAGAGGATTTAACGCTGTGGTTTAAAAATATGAATCCGTCAAACATTATGTCTACAAACAGACAAATGTTTTAACAATCTTTTTGGTATTTTGAGATGCTAAAAACCTAAAAATGCCACCCGGTTCCTTTTATAAATACTCCCAAAAACATGCATTTGACCAGATTCATCTATTTACACCACACCTAAGGTACATGACAAAAATGGTATTTCTGGTTTTATACTTGTCATTCGAAAGCTGTTTTGCAAGACCAACACTATGGAAAATTTTAAACATTTTATCTAATTTAAATTTCAAATCTATAAAAACATTAAAATTGTGTAAATGTATTGAACCGCACTGTGTACATATTAACCAAAACACAATATCAAGATTTTTTAATTCTTGGTCTTCTCTTCTTTTCAGTCTGTGCAGTCTCGCAATTTGGCCTCTACCAAGAGAACCCCTGTCTCTGAACGAGAGAATCTGGATGAGGAATCACGCTGATGAAAAAAAAAAGAAAAAAGTCACTCACTCTGTCCATCCATGTAGAACTGGGCTTATATGTCTTGCGCACCATACAACCATCACTGGTGTGCTTGGCACATTCTAGCACTCTTTTCTATGGGCAGTGTGCCATGTCCAGGATCTCTGGGGCAAAGGCCACATCCTCTATCGCCCTGGAGTGTCTTTCACATAAGTTCCCACCCACCCATTACTCAGGGGAACAACACCTGTCTCATCCATTGTTTGTGTGTGTGTGTCCGTCTCTCACACGTACTGTTACAACACTTCCCGAGAGACTGCAACACGCTCCCTCTTGTTCTGTCTTTTACTCATTACTTGGAACCCTTACGCCAGAGACTAAATTCTGCTCCAAAGCAGGCCATGTGTTTCGACCTTCCTCAGTAGCTAAAGATACTGTTCACACAAAAATTTTTTTGATGAATTGTTAACAGACTGCTGAGTTACAGTGATTTATATCTGTTTTCCTCACATGTACTGTCCTTTCTGTTTGTCTCCCACTCATCTCTCTCTCTCGTGTGTCTGCCTCAATGTGGGAGGGGTAATGATGGAAGAAAGTCACGACAATGAATGAAATAACTCACCGATTTCTGGTAAATCTATATAAAGAGATATATATAGAACATGCAGGCTCCTGTTGCTTGTGTACATGTGGCACTGTAGTCACTAAGATTGCTTTTCTTTTAAGAACGGTCAGTGATAAAGCTTCCGTGATGGTACGAGAGGGTGTATTTTGGGAGGAAGTTAATTACATGACATTTGTTTTGAAAATGCTTTATACTGAGGTTACACGAATTGAAAATCACAATTTTGTCACTGATTGTCCTGGGATTTAAAAATGGCCCCAAGATAAATGGGCAATGTCAGAGCACATCCGGCAGAGTCCCAAAAACGTTGCCACAATCCTCCTAGTAACTGCACATTCAACCTTTTTAACAATAATTCTCCTAGTAACTACACATCCAGCAGGTCTGCCATAATCATTATAATAGCCACATACAGTGTGTGCCTGCTCTCAAATGGAGCAGTAACTGAACAGAACCTTAAAGATCAATGCACTGAGAGGGACACGATTTCATTTCACCATCCTGAATGTACAAGCTTTACTCTCTCTCCCTAAACTGTCATGATAGAGTAAGACAATATTGTATTATCTTCTTTAACTCACAGATATCAATCAGTTTGGAGAAGGAGCCTCTCCATACTGTGATTTGCATATTTGTATGGCAAGGAGAAAACATCACTTAAACCTCATATCATAATATTTTTTAATAAAGTGGTTTTAACTTATTATAACAAAAAAAAAATACTTCCCTTTAATGATCCCTGTGAATGCATCTTATAGTGGATCTCCTTGCACCTGCAGTCAGACCCACGCCTAAATAAGAAAAGACCCCAATTCTGGAGTGCTTCATCTGTTCTGTAGATTTCATTAACCTCTGTTCAACAGAGGTTTACAGGATACATAGTTTGTTCCTGAACTGCCAATTCAGTGATTACATAGGATGAGAAGAACTGATCTTTAACCCCTTAAGGACACATGACGTGTGACATGCCATGATTCCCTTTTATTCCAGAAGTTTGGTCCTTAAGGGGTTAAACGGATAGAAGCCATTATACAGCCCAGGTCCCAGTTTAGTGCATGGATTGTCAGGTTCATGGTTTACAGCTTGATTCACTCCCCGGAGAAGGAGGAAGAATTAGTCCTGAGTTGTGAATGTGGTCCATGCACAACTTGGGTGGGGGGACAGGGGACAGGACTACATCAGGTCTTAGGAGCTGTCTTAGCGCTGCAGTGACGTTTAGACATATCTGCTGTTTAAGACATTTTCAGGGATAAGAGTAGGGTGCAGGATATTCTCAGCACTGTCAGCATTGCAATCATGCAAAGTTGTGATGGTGCTTAGTATGACCCTTTGATTTGTTTTGTACGTGAAAACATGCGCACGACCAACCTGACAATGAATCTAGATAAAACAGTGATAGGTACATAAGCTTTTATGAGTGATGTCACAAACCCAAAAGGCTCAGTAAAGGGAAAAAATAACCAATTTACATTGCAAATTTAAAACTTGTCAAGCCATATCCTTTCAGTGCAAAATGTGGGGAAAGCTACCACAACACATTCCAGCGTTATTACTTGCAAGTAAGGTTTTAATACAGCATATGTTATAAATAAATACCTCAATAAAAAATGCTGTATTTATAAGCCTATGGAAAGCACTGCACATTAAGTGGACCAATAGGAAAATGGAAAAAAAATCAGTAGATTCTGTGTGAGAAGCACAGTGCATGATGTGGTCCTACAAGTCAATGGGAAGCGTTGTATACTAAATGACCGACAACCAAATGAGAAACATTGTACACTAAGTAGTCCGATAAGCTTATGAGAAGCATTGTACACAGTGTAATGTCTATATTAAAGGGCTCATACAAAATTCACCATATGCCTAAACCTGCCCCAAACTAACCAAACACCAGTCATCACTCAGGTGAAATACAATATTTTGATTTATTTAAAAAAAAAAAAAAAGAAAATACATTTATACATGGAAATTTCAGTTTAAATTGTGGGATTGAACATCCTTCAGAGCACCCCCCAAACCTCTTCAAAAGCAGTGCAGATCTTGGCGCAGGTTAGAGCAGCAGAGAGGGGGTACTGACTGATTGACACACAGCGCTCTGTGTAATCCACGTCAACCTACAATAGAAAATGTAGTCATGAAACACCGTCTTAGAAATATAACGTGGGGTTTAATTACTAAAGGCCAAACTGCCATGAGCTAAAAATTCAACTGCAAGATTTTCCTACTTAACGATATTGAAATCATGGCTATTTTTGCAAAAAAAAAAGTGAAATTCAGTTTGAAAATCACTACAGTTCAGGACTTCTAGATTAAATCTTGGTATATAAACTTTAGTAATTTTAAATGAATTCTATCTAGGGCAGGAGTACCCAAAAGGTAGATCCCCAGATGTTTTGAAACTATATCTTCCATGATGCTTTCTCATTCTAAAGGAATGCAAAGCATCATGGGAGTTGTAGTTCCACACAATTTGGGGATCTACCTTTTAGGCATCTCTGATCTAGGGAAAGCCTAAATCATTCAATTTATACATGATACACAAATCATTCTCCAATAATACATGATAAATATTAATTCTTCATGCTGTTAGCCAACCCATACTGCGGGCTCTGGACATTATCTAGTTTACCTTAGAAGCAGTAAACAGTTGGATAGACAAATATGAGTGACAAAGATGTCCTAGTGTGTGCACCAATTTAACCAATGTTGTCCTAGACAAACAAAACAAGGAGATTCTCTGTAATTTGATGATTACAGAGTTTGAAGATTGAACCTATGTACATTGGTAGAACAGGCTACTTATTATTAAAAAGAACAGAGTATCACAGATTCATATCTGGTTTTGGAGGAGTTTATGAATAGACATCTTTCAGTGACAGAATGTTAGCTACTTTTCAGAAAGCCATTGTTATTACATTATTATTACATTTCTGCTCTGTTAGAATCTGATCCTGGTTACTTACCGATCCATGTGCAAAAGCTCCAATGACAAATAGCATTGGTTCGTGCTGGGGTACCAGGTCTCGCACACACGAAACACTCTCTCCTGTGAAGGAAGTGGAGATCTTCAAACAGCCGGCAGGGAGATGGTCGGTCAGAGGGTTTTTAATGACCTGGAGGTGAAAAAAAATAATTAGTATAGTTGAAGAAGGAAATGATAACCTTCAACTGAGAACAGTAATCTTCTCACCTTAAGTAGTTTCTGAGGTCCATCAGCTGCTCGAACACTAAGCTTGTGCAGTAGCTGAACTGTAGAGAAAAAAAACAACATATGATGAGGGACAGAACATGTTTTGTCTGCACCAATATAAAGAAACCCACCATAAAATAGGCACTTCTTATCACATTCAGTCTTTTGAATCCAGAGTACAGCATCCTGACTCATAGAGGAGATATTACTTACCCATTAAGCCACAGAATCTGGGAAAGGTGCGAGGAATACGTGTCTGTGGGTTGACCTCTATGAGAACATTGCGCTGAGTGTGGATGTAAACTTGCAACAAGCCAGCCCTGTTTAGTGGACTGTCCAGGAGCATCAGCAAACTCTGCAGAAGAAAAATCATACACCAGACTAGTATTTAAATGCACAAAAGTATATAGATGGACATTGTCATTGGGTTGTCTAAACTTTAAGGTCTGCTTCACTATGAATCCAAATGAATTGCAATGGCCTTCTGAGCTTGGTTTCCTGCTGTGAACTGAAATTGGAGGAGTCACATTCTGCAGGTATAAGCTTTAAGTATGCAAGATGTCCAGGTACTTGGGATGTGCCTTTAACTTAACCTACTCCAATTCCATCAAAGTTACATTCTTTGACAAGCAAATTGTTACTCTGAAACACTGATTTTCTTATTAGCAATTACTGACCTCCCCGCATCCCACCCACTTCTGTGAAGAGGCACACAAAACAGCCAGTACCTGGTGTGTAATGTCTGGTCGGACTTGTCCTGGGTCTTTTCCATTCTTTACGAGAAGGGATTTGTGTTGATCACAGTTCAGTAACTCATATGTTTTCCCCACCTGCATTTGGAAATATCAGTAAATAATTGCGGTTTAATTAATTTTCTAGGTTACTGTGAGATAATGAAATAAATGATTTGTGAATATCTCATGATGAGAGTCTGGATACAAAGAAGTACAATTCAGTGACAAAAAAAGTTTGTCACTCATTCACGACACTGAATGAGAGTTATTTAAAATACAAAACTAACATACAGTATCTCACAAAAGTGAGTACACGCCTCTCATTTTTGTAAATATTTTATTATATCTTTTCATGTGGCAACACTGAAAAAATGACACTCTGCTACAATGTAAAGTAGTAAGTGTACAGCCTGTATAACAATGTAAATTTGCTGTCCCCTCATAATTACTCAACACACAGCAAATAAAGTCTAAACTGTTGGCAACAAAAGTGTATATCCAAATTGGGCCAAATTAGCCATTTTCCCTCTCCGGTGTCATGTGACTCGTTAGTGTTACAAAGTCTCAGTTGTGATTGGCGAGCAGGTGTGTTAAATTTGGTGTTATCGCTCTCATACTGGTCACTTGAAGTTCAACATGGCACCTCATGGCAAAGAACACTGAGGATCTGAAAAAAAGAATTGTTGCTCTACATAAAGATGGCCTAGGCTATAAGAAGATTGCCAAGACCCTGAAACTGAGCTGAAGCACGATGGGCAAGACCATACAGCGGTTTCACAGGACAGGCTCCACTCAGAACAGGCCTCGCCATGGTTGACCAAAGAAGTTGAGTGCACGTACTCAGAGTCATATCCAGAGGTTGTCTTTGGGAAATAGATGTATGAGTGCTGCCAGCATTGCTGTAGAGGTTGAAGTGGGAGGGAGTCACACTCTCAGTGTTCAGGCCATACTCCGCACACTGCATCAAATTGGTCTGCATGGCTGTCGTCCCAGAAGGAAGCGTCTTCTTAAGATGATGCACAAGAAAGTCTGCAAACAGTTTGCTGAAGACAAGCAGACTAAGGACATGGATTACTGGAACCATGTCCTGTAGTGTGATGAGACCAAGATAAACTTATTTGGTTCAGATGGTGTCAAGCGTGTGTGGCGGCAACCAGGTGAGGAGTACAAAGACAAATGTGTCTTGCCTACAGTCAAGCATGGTGGTGGGAGTGTCATTGTCTGGGTCTGCAGTTCTGCATGAGTGCTGCCGGCACTGGGGAGCTACAGTTCATTGAGGGAACCATGAATGCCAACATGTACTGTGAAATACTGAAGCAGAGCATGATCACCTTCGGAGACTGGGCTGCAGGGCAGTAATCCAACATGATAACGACCTCAAACACACCTCCAAGATGACCACTTCCTTGCTAAAGAAGCTGGAGGTAAAGGTGATGGACTGGCCAAACATGTCTCCAAACCTAAACTCTATTGAGCATCTGTGAGGCATCCTCAAACAGAAGATGCGGGAGCGCAAGGTCTCTAACATCCACCAGCTCCGCGATGTCATCATGGAGGTATGGAAGGGGACTCCAGTGGCAACCTGTGAAGCTCTGGTGTACTCCATGCCCATGAGGGTTAAGGCAGTGCTGGAAAAGAATGGTGGTAACACAAAATATTGACACTTTGGGCCCAATTTTGACATTTCCACTTAGGGGTGTACTCACTTTTGTTGCCAACGGTTTAGACATTAATGGCTGTGTGTTGAGTTATTTTGAGGGGACAGTAAATGTACACTATTATACAGTCTGTACATTTACTACTTTACATTGTAGCAGAGTGTCATTTCTTCAGTGTTGTCACATGAAATTATATAATAAAATATTTACAAAAATGTGAGGGGGTGCTCACTTTTGTGACACACTGTATATCACAATTCTGGACAAAGTTGTAATAGTAAAGAAAGCATCCAGTTGGTTAACACTGTAATTGCTCAACTTTTAGAACTTTCTGAGCCGACACCGGGCACGGATTTCTAGATATACACACAAAAATATGGCTTACTGACAAGTGATTTCTAAATTTTAGACCAAAACAGATTCATTGCAAAACTATTTTGACCTACAATTTACAATTTCTTAGTCAGTTTTCACATTGCCTGGTTTAGTAAATAAACCCCTTTTGTTTCTTATATATACTTCATTGAAGTAGTATTGCTCGCTATCTAGCACTTTGGTCCACTTTTGATTTAGACACCCATCAATTTTGACACAAGGTAAATTTACAGAATTTTAAACAAGAATTATCCTCATCAGGAATCTCTGTTGCAGTACTTTAAGCAAGGATTATAATTATTTTATGCTCCAGTGGGTTACCCAGAAAAGTTAATTAGCTGATCTCTTGGAAGCACAAGCTAATTACGTTTAAATGGGGCTGACTGGCATGGGTCTGTAACATTTGCTAGGATTACACTAAAAGCTATGGATCTTACTATAGATCACTAGCAACGATTTCTGGTCAAAAGAGGTTATTAGTATAACATTTAAATAATATATTTAAATAGATTTAACTCTAAAGCAAACCTTAACCCTAATACAAGAGATCACAACTAGTGCTGTTGTAAAGTTGGCCCAAATCAATGTGTGCATTGGTATCCAATCTCATTGGAGGCCCCATTAATTACAACATATGCAATGTCACCAGGGTACCACTGTAGCAGCTTATATAAGTATGCAAAGAATATCAGAGCCTTATATAAAGTAATAATTGTTTCAGAGGATTGTTACTGCAAGGATCCCTCTATTGACACAATGTGGGCTGTAAGAGGGAATGGAGTTAGTTAGAATAATTGGAGCATATAACTGAGTAGTATCTACATGTTGTGTATCCTGGTTGTGTAGCTCCCTACTAACATTTAAGGAATGGTCACATAGTTGAGTATA